CTCAAAGTATGTATGTTAGAATGCTTTGGCCATTTATATTTCAAGTAATTTTCTTTGTAAGTAGGTAGTTTTGAGTTATGGATTAATTCAAAAGAGAAATTATGATTTTGATGTATTACATGATATTAAAGGGTTTATATTATTTTAATAAATAATTAAGGTCTTGATGAAATAAAATGTCTTACTCTATCTAATTTTTTTGTTAAGAATATGACTATTACACAATGTAGATATAAAAACACTAAAAATATGTGTAAGGTAATGATTTTATATATCAAATGGCTATGATAATGTAGGCATATAATAAGGTATTTAAATGAGGAGTTAAGTGAAATAAATTTTAGAAAAAATGATCAATGCTTTGATTTGATATTGATTTGATGTATGGGCAAAATAACCTAGAAGTATGACCTTACATACTAAATACTTTTGATCTTAAAATATGCAATAGATATACACATGGAACACTTATGAAAAACTGATTCAAAGAAAAATTTAAGACTGAAAATTGTTCTTAAAAATTCAAAGTATCAAAAGAGTTATAAATTTTCATTTTCTTATGACTATTTTTTATTTCATTTTACATGATTTATAAATGATCCATTAAGACCTATTTTAACTTGACTATTTGACTTGATTAGTTCCAAAAGAGGATACTTTAACCTACCTATAAATAAGGCATTTCAACTTGTAAAACATAAAGATAGAGAGGGATGATACCCTAACTTTGATAGCATAGGGGAAAGAAAGGAGGGAGAGAGAAGAATCCTTTGTTCTGAAAGGCAAAAGGGAGAAACGGCAAAAAGATACCTCAAGTCTTTTGGTCAACCATTAAGACCGTTAAATAGGGACAAATCCTAACAATACTTTTCTCAAAATACTCTTTAACCTAATGACCCATATTCCTTCTAACTCTCCCCCTCAAGATAAACATTTCTTGACTAAGTTGTTGATGATAGTGTCATTGATGATTTAATAGTGTTCCCCTTGCAATGATCAATGACAGCTCCCTTGTAATGGTGGAGATGACCCCCTCAAGGATATTGAATGCAATATCCTTTAGATAAGAGTGACATCACCTCAAGCATAGGTAGCGGATGATTGGATATATACTCACTTAGATAAGAGCAACACTACCTTGAACAAAGTCAACAATACTAAAAAAAAGCACCCCCAAATATGAGCAATGTTAACTCTAACAATGATAACTATAGTAGAAAATTTCCCTTAGATAGGAGCAATGCTACCTCTAGCAAGGGTAATAATATTAGAAATAAGTCTTCTCTAAATATGAGCAATGATACTTATAATAAGGGCAACAATATTTAAAATAAAGCTTTCTCAAATAAGAGCAATGATCTCCAATAAAGATAGTAATATTAGAAATAAGGCTCTTCTAAATATGAGCAATGCTACCTCTAATAAGGATAGTAATACTAGAAATAAGGCTCTCCTAAATAGGAGCAATGCTACCTCCAATAAGGAAGGCAAGATGGTAATGACCAATAGGAGATAAAACCCTAGGGCTTAGCACTAGGCAAAGGATGGTAGCAGACTAGTGGCTATTGTAGTATTAGTGCCACTCCACATTATTGAATGTCTTTAAACAAGGACAAAACCCTAAGACTGTAGCGGCACCTAACTAGGATCAACTCCATATTTAGAGTTATACTAGAGTGTTAAAGGAGATGACAGTGGCAGTGATAGTGGCAGCGACAACACTAGTGGTAGACAAGAGACATCAAACAAAGCTGATGCCAAGTAGAGGTGGGGCAGCAGTGACAATGGTGGTGGCAGTAGCACTAGAGTTAACTTGACTTTGTTACCATGTAGAAAATATTAACATAAAGAGAGCTAAAGCTCTAGTTTTGATATAATAGAGATAAGTAAAGGAGGAAGAGAGGAATCCTCTATCCTAAAGAATATAGGGAAGGAGTAGTAGAAAGAGACCTCAAGTCTTTCTCTCACACACTAAGTAAACCCTAGTAATACTTTTCTCAGAATATCATTTAACATAGTTACCCTTGGACCTTCTAACACATGCAAATTAGGGCAAGAGAGAAAGACATGATTTCCATGTAATACCTGCTATCCATTAATGATTTCTTCTCTTCATCAACCACTTCAACTCTCCAAGATTTAATCGTGTGATTGATTACTTCAAAGTAGTAGTGGACACTTCTCCAACCATAAAGAGCTTCTTCCTTCAATGCACAAAAATGAGATTTAAAGGCCATTGTAAAATCATTATTTGTTCGTATCTTCAAAACTCTAGGATGCCCATCTTACACGTGGTGTGTTTGAGAGGAAGACCGACACTTGTGGTGTGCATGGTAGCCTAACAAGTTTATGTGATGTGCTTGATCAGTCAATAAGTACTTGTGGTGTATTTGGTTGGCCTATCTAACTCATGTTGTGAGTTAAAGTTTTTTATAATATATGTAGTGTGTTGAACATAGAGTGAATCTTGTGGTGTGCTCACATATAAATAAAAACTGTGAGAAACATGACTTCTAGTATGGATACATAGACTTGAGTAGTTTATGATGTAAGGAGGAGTTGAGCCCATAAGTTAATTGTAATCATGAGGTATGGTTAGTGGGAACTCAATATCAGTTGACTTAAGAAGTGGATGTAGGCCAAAGAAGTTTGATAGAACAAATATAAAATATAATGTGAATTATTTTTTTATTTTTTTATTTTTTTTATTTATATATTAATATAGAGATGTAAATGAGATATTAATATATAATATAATATAAATGATTATATTTAATTTAACGAAAAATAAAAAAAATCATCCTTCCCATCTTGATTTAACTAGCCATCTAGAAGAAAAATATTCATGAAGGGAATACAAGCTAGGGACAAGGTGAGGGATGAGTAAAGCAGAGATCTTCCAGTTTTTCAGATGATACCAGGTCAGATTATTAGATTCAAAAATCCATGTGCTCCCTCGATTGCAGGCTCCTACAGATCGGGTTTGAGCTGGGTGTGGGTTCATCGCGTTTTATCTGCTTGTGAAACCGAATTTCCTCTGGGGTTTTTGATTGGTATTTCAGAGGATCAGTTAGCTTTGCCGATGGATTTAAAGGTTGCTTTTCGCAGGTCTAAGGAATCGTGATCCTTCTTCCTCAATGAGACGTACTCCGTCGTCATCTCCGGCCGCGTGCTGATCTTCTTTGGAGTCTGATAACTGTTCTTGCTGCCTCGAAAATTCACGGAGATTTACTCAGATTTCGAATCCCTGCAAGTTCTAAATAGGAGAGAAGCTCGTGTTTCTGATAGTTTTCACCGGTCCGTTGTTCCAAATGAATCATCGCCCAAGTTTAGACGCTGGAGAAGATGAAGGGTTGGAAATTGTGGGCTGGAGTGACTTCGTGAAGAACTGCGGGGTCTTTCCTGCTGATAACACTTCCATATGTTGGGCAGGGGAGTACATGAGCCAGGCTTCATGACAGTACTCCGGTGGGGGTATGTGGGTGGGTGGGTGGGTGCGTGTGTGTGTGTGTGTTTGTGTGTGTTTGTGTGTGTGTGTATGTGTGTGTGTGTGTATGTGTGTGTGTGTGTGTGTGTGTGTGTGTGTGTGTGTGTGTGTGTGTGTGTGTGTGTGTGTGTGAGCGAGAGAGAGAGAGAGAGAGAGAGAGACGCTTCTTCGCTGTACTCTCTCCTGGATGACCCTGGATTGTTTGATGATAGAGGCAAGCTCGGAGTGTAGGCGATGGGAGAGGAAGACCACCTCATGAAACCTGTACTTGCAGAGAACTCCCAGAGATAGTCAAGGCTGAGCAAAGTTCTCTCCCTCTTCCTCGGGTTTTAGATGCACCTTCTGATCGAAGCTACCCTTTTTTTAGGGAGGGGAAGGCAGGAGTTTCTTTCTTCACCCCTGTCAAATGGCGAAGCACCCGACAGCGATTTGTCGGGGATTGCACCGTTGAGAGAGAGAGAGAGAACGGACTCCGGCGAGGGCACGTCGAACGGAGCTCGGAAGGTCTTCTCTTCCAGGTGCTATTTCTGTAAGAGACTTTAAATGCAGCTAATTTCGGGGAATATCCGAGGTTCTGGATGGCCGGCTGTCATTCATCCACCGATTACTTCTGGGTCGGGAAGACGATAAGGTAAATAGCCACAAACGTTCCCACCTTCCTCATCCAAAACTTGTGATTTGTACGTAAACATTATCAGGAAAGCCCGTATATATATATCGATTTACATACATATATCGAGAGAGAGAGAGAGAGAGAAACTTCGTCACGACTTCCTTCTGAATACAGAACCTGAAGAACGTGGCGGTGACGGAGAGAGTTCCCTCCGTCCGAAGATTCCCCCTTCGCCGTCACCATAGCCCCACATTCTCTCTCTGTCACTCCCCTTTCTCTGTGCCTGTAGATTAGATTAGATTCCGGTGTATCTACCAGTCTCCTGTCGACGGTGTTGTTGCCACTGGAAATCACCTGGCTTGACTCGACGGAGGATCAAAACAAAGTTGCAGAGCGTCACAGAATATCAAGCCAGAGCAGCCTCCCTATGCTTCGCTCTCTGTTTCTCTCTCTCTCTCTCAATCTCTGATCGCAACTACAGGAATCCAGGACTATCAACCTCACTGCTCATTGAAGAGAGAGGGGGGAAGGCACGGCCTGACACCTCTCTGGCCAAGCTTACCTTCGAATCCGCCACATCTCACGAGTCCCCTTAAATGCTTCTCGCCTCGGACGATCCAGGAATTCAATTCCGCTGGCGGGTCACAGAGAGGGATCGAGAGAGCGAGAGAGAGAGAGAGAGAGAGAGAGAGAGAGAGAGAGAGAGAGAGAGAGAGAGAGAGACAGACAGACAGACAGACAAACAGAGAGGGAGAGAGACAGAGACAGAGACAGAGAAGGGGGGGGGGAGCGGGTAGAGAATATAGGATCACAAAGGGGGTAGACTGGGAATAGAAAGGGACGAGGATAAGTGAGGCCCCATAAATTCGCCGGCAGCTCTGACCCTCCATGGCATCCGAGATGGGAGGGGGAGAAGAGGAGGAGGAGGTCCCCAACGCAGAGCCTCCGAGTCCCGGCGGCGATTCCGAACTCCGGCGGGTGGTCGTCCGTCTCGACTCGCTGATCTCCTTCTCCCGCTCCATCAAGGCCTTTGCAGGCAAGTGGCAGTCCATCAGGAGCTTGCTCCAGAACCTCAGCTCCGGGCTCACCGCCGCCGAGGCCGCCGTCGTCTTCTCCGGCGCCAGTGAGAATTCGGCCTTTTCGGAGCTTCTCGCCGCCGTAGCCTCGACGGTGGACGAGGCCCATGGCCTTGCCGGTAGCTGCGACGGGGAAACCTTCCCCGGGGGGAAGCTCCTCATGAGGAGCGACCTCGACCTCCTCGCCTCCAGATTTGACCTCCACCGGAGGACCCTCGACGGAATTTTCGCCTCGGGGGCGTTGACCCACGCCACCGCCATCGTCCTCTCCAAACCCGCCGCCGGCGCTCCTCGCGATGAGATGAAGTTCTACGTGAAGGATCTCTACTCCAGGATGAAGCTCGCGGACCCGGAGATGGCCGCTCGGGCCCTGGCCGCTCTCAACGAAATCCTCATCGAGGATGATAAGTATGCGAGAATCGCTACCGTGGAGATGCCGGAGGTCGTCGGCCTGCTGGTGGGCCTGCTCGAGTCGGAGAAGGAGGAAATCCAGCAGGAAGCTGCGGAGGCGGTGGCTGTGATCGCAGGTTTCCATTGCTACAGGCCGCTGCTGGTCCTCGCCGGCGTTGTGCCAGCCCTCATAAAGGTTCTGGAGATGGGAAGCTCTCTGGGGAAGGAGCGAGCCGCCAAGGCCCTGAAGAAGCTGACCGAAAATTCCGACAACGCGTGGTCGGTGTCGGCGCACGGCGGCGTGATGGCGCTGCTAAAGATCTGCGCTGATCCGGGCATCAGCGGCGGCGAGCTCCTGAGCTCCGCTTGCGGAGTCCTGAGGAACCTCGCCGCGGTTTGGGAGATCAAGCGGTTCATGGTGGAGCAGGGGGCGGTGGCCGTCTTCCTGAAGCTCTTGGGGTCCAAAGACGAGGTCTCGCAGATCCACGGCATGGAATTCCTTCAGGTGATCGCCGGCGACGACCCCGCCGCGAAGGCCAGAGTGATGAGCGAAGGTGGGATGGAGTCTTTGGTTCAGTTCCTCGGATCCTCTTCCTCCTCATCCCCAAAAGCCATGGAGACGGTCCTTAGGGCGATAGAGGCCCTTTGTTTCTCGTCGGCGGGCTCTGTGAGCGCCCTGATCCGCGCGGGCTTCCTCGACAGACTCCTCGTCTTGCTCGGCCATGGGGAGACCTCCGTCCAAGAGTCGGCGCTGAAGGCGGCGGCTCGCCTCTGCGCGGTCTCTGAGGAGGCCATAAGGAACATGGGCGAAAGGGGCTTCATGGCGGAGCTGGTGAGGCTGCTGGAGGCCAAGTCCTTGGAGGTGAGGGAGATGGCGGCGGAGGCGCTGGCGAGGATGGTGGCGGTGCAGAGAAACCAGAAGAGGTTCGTCCAGGAGGAGGACGGCGTGGGGACCGTCCTCCTCCTCCTCGAGCCCGAGGAGAAGACCGCCACCAGGAAGTTCCTCCTCTCCGCCCTCGTGGCCATCTCCGGCAGTAGCAGCGGGAGGAGGAAGATCGCCCAATCGGTTCACATCAAGCGACTGGAGAAGCTCGCCGATATGGAGATCGCGGACGCCAAGAGGATCATCAAGAGGCTCTCCTCCGGCAGATTATGGAACCTGCTCACCGGAATCTGGAGTACTTGACCCCCCACCGTCACCGGTATATTCTCCTTCTCCCTACCATTCTCAGACGATTTCTCCCCTCAGCGGCGGGGAAGCTCGTCGGAGATCATCGACGTAGATTGTGAATAGACCACCGGTAATTCACAGGGAGGTTCTTCTTCCCACACTCGATCGACTTGAGAGATTATCTGTTCATGGGTAGCTAATTCTCTGTGTGGTGGGTGGCGGGTCTCGCCCGCGTTTTTTCTCCTTCCTCCCCACACCATTTAATTCGCAGAGAGTGAGAAAGAGAGAGAGAGAGTACTGTGAGAGCATGTTTGAACTGGGGGGGGGGGAGGGGTGACCACCTCTCATCAAGATGGTCCCTTCCCTACGTCCTCGAGCTTTGAATGATTCCGGAAGAACATCCTATTAATGCTCCCTCCGAGGCGAGCGGCACCAACCGGCCTTCGTCGACGGGTTCAGAACTCTGAGCGCAACCCGTGGAGCTCTCTCTCTCTCTCTCTCTCTCTCTCTCTCTCTCTCTCACCACAGGATCGGAATCCGGCTTCGTAGATAAGTCATACATCAAACCCACAGGACATCTATCATCGTCAGAGATGGGTCACCCATAAATATGAGGTTTAGATGCCTGAGGGTCCTACTTGGGTGGACTGACAGGCAGACAGCTTAATGGCGGAGCAATCCGCTGATCACCAGGAAATTGTTTACTCAGCAAGACGGTGGGTGGTTCAGAGAATAATTGGGGAGAGAAAGAGAGAGAGAGAGAGAGAGAGAGAGAGAGAGAGAGAGAGAGAGAGAGAGAGAGAGAGAGAGAGAGAGAGAGAGAGAGAGAGAGAGGGTGCACATGGATGGCAGCTCCGGCTCCAAGTGAAGCCGCGGAGATTTTGGCGGCTCCGAGCGGCATCTCACGCTTCTGCCATGGAAGTTTGTCGCCTAACAGTAAAAAAATAATAGCGGCGGCGATGTGGCGGGGAGAGGCTTCCTCCTGCAAGCCCTTTTTCAAGCATAAAAACAAACGCTTTGCGGTGCCGCCCCCGCACGGCCTCACGTTCTCGTATCCCCCCTCGCCGGAGGCCTGTCGCCTGCGCCGTCGTCCGGCCGCCGGCAAGAGGAAGAAGTCCCGCCACGGGCTGCTCTGATTTGACATGCATCTCTCGCTGCCGTGGGGCCGCGGCCAGTTTTCTGCCGGAGAAGAGGGCCCCCCTTCATTCCCGATGCCCTGACTCCCCAGCGAAGACGACGACGGGTGGCCGGCCCATGGCCGTCGACCCACCCAGACGGAGAACACGGCGGAGGAGGCCCGGCAGAATACTACGAGGAATCCGAGGATGGCTGTGGTTCAAACAATATAATCTGGACCTTGGAGGCCCCCATCACCCGGGGAATCCCCAGATGAACAACCCCAACACCCGATACCAGCCTAGAATAATATTCTCCACGTAAAATCGGAATCTTTGGATAGTTTTTGACGATGGGCTCAAGGCCACAGAATTAAATGCGGAAATTTTCTGATGTGGGTCATTCATGCTTGTGGAGCTGTTTCCATTTATCCCATGCACGATATCTTCGTGAAGATACTCTCCATCTAGTTTCCAATGGGGGAAAAACCTCAGATAAACTGGCCCAGCACGCAATACAGGCCTAGAACAATATTCATTACGTAAAATCTGAATCTTTGCATGGTTTTTGACTAAATGGGGAAACTTTTGAAGTGGGCCATTCATACATGTGGAGCTGTTTCTAAGTAAATATCCTATGCATCATATTTCCCAATGGGGAAAATCTCTCTGAACTTCCCGGTTGTTGATAGAAATGCTCCCATAATTGGCAAATTTGTTAGACAGCATGTTCCGCAGGTATTTATTCACTTTTCCGATTAATCAATTCCATCTTTCTCTTCTCCACCTGTTTCAAGCGATAAATCATGCCCAAATATGGTAAAAAAAATAGACCCATTTATTTATTATTCATGATTAATCATTCTTCATATATTCATTCACTCTTCCGATTAATCATTCCCATCTTTCTCTTCTCCACCAGTTTCAAGTGAATAAATCATGCCCAATATGGTAAAAAAAAGGCCCATTTGTTTATTATTTGAGGTTTATTCGCTTGCAAGAATGGAAAACAAGATGATCGGCTCATTTGGGTTCAGAGATAGATAGATAAAAGTAAAATCTGGATTATTTTTGCCGGAGACATCAGGATCATCCATTGCCTAGACTCAGAGATAATTTCCACGTAATTACATCCAAGCTCATCGGTGAGTGATCATCGCGATCATCGGTGATCCCTCCTCTCGACCCGCCCGATGGATCTGGGAGGAGCAGAATCCCTGCAGGGATGCGTTTCTCTATTCAATCGTTTTCATGTTCTTCGGAAAAGAAGGGGAAGATTTGAATTTACTGTTGTTCGTCATCTTCTTCCAGGTCCATGAGGTCTTCTTCTTCACTCAACGCAGAGGACGCCCGAGGGAAGTTGTTTCGTCGTCCCGCCGGTTGACCGATCATTCCAGCTCTGCCGGAGCCTTCAGCGTTGACCTCCGTGAGGGCCACCTCCTCGTCGATCATCTCGGGTCCCTCCCATGGCATGAACTTGTCCACCGCCGCTGCCGCCGCCGTCGGGAGGGACCATTTCCGGCGCTTCCCCTCCGGAGGGTTCCTGCCGACCTTGACGGTGATCAGACTGTAGCGGCTGGATACTGTCCTCACCTTGGGAGTTTCCGATGCCCTCTTGGGCGGCGGCGCAGATTTCCTCGGCTCCCGCAATGGCGGCGGCGGCGGCGCTGCCGCCGCCGCAGCCTCCCGCTTGAAGGGCTTCTTCGTCTCGTGGAAGAGCATCTTCGGCTGGATCTCCTTCCTCCGTCCTCCTCCTCCTCTACCGAGACAGCGGGCTTCTTTGATTTCTTCCCGGCGGAGGGCGGAGGAAGCGGCTGAGATCACAGAGGGCCCTAGGCTGACCCCCTTCCTACTGAACTCTTCATTCGTCGGACCTGCCGGTGAGTTCGCCATCGTCAATGCGGGGTCCTTGGCGATGGAGCCGCAGGGTATCTTCTTCTCCACCTCTCCTTCGTCCTCCGCTATGTCTTGGAGCTTCTGGAAGCAGGATTTCCGTTTGCTCTGCGCTGAACGGAGTGGGGTGAGACTGGGCGGCGGCGGGACCTCCTCCCCCCGCCGGAGTCCGATGGTAGCGGCGCAGATCTCCAGCGGCCCGAGGCTGGCGCTCCTCCGCCGGTACCCGCCGCCAGCAGGAGACCCCACCACCTCCGATTTCTTGGCCGGGCTCGGCTTCAAATCCAAGAACTTGGAGGGGACGATCCTTCCACGCCGTGAAGCGGATCGAGAATCCCTCTCTGTCTTCTTGAGGCGCAGCTCCTGCAACCTGGCCTGCAGACGCTCGATCTCCTTCTCAACCTCCTCGATCTCCTCCTCGATGCTCCTCCCTGCTCCGGTGCCGCCAACCCCGATCGTCGACTGGTCCGGGGGAATCGCCGCCGAGAGAGGGAGGGCGCCGCCGGCGAGGAAGGCAAAACCAGGGCTGCGGTTCTCCTTGCCGGCGGCGAGCGTGAAGGGCTCTGCAGGAGGGGGAATGGCGGAGAGGGGCCTGAAGGCGCACCAGGCGGGGGAGCGCTTGGCCGCGGACCCACCGGCGCTGCAGCTGCCGTCGTCGAAGACCGCGTTGTTCCAGATCTGCATGCTTGGGTCACTCATCGCATCCAGTCGCCGTCGTCGCAAGCTTGAGGTTCCGCCTGTTCCTGCCGGAGATGGAGGGAGGAAGGAGGTAAATTTTTGACCGTTGCGGGACGGGTCGGGGGAGAAAGACGTTGGGATAGATTTAATTCTGAGCGCCCGATTGTTAACGTCCCGATCGGATGATCCGTCGATCGCGCCGTTGATTCGACCGTTGTTTTCTCTCGTATTTCGTAACAAAATTTTACGGCTGCCTGGAAACGGATTTCGGGCCCGGGCCCTTGAAAATGGCCTCAGCCCGGTAAGCCTAGATATGCCTTCAGCACAGAGAGAAAGATAGAGAGGGAGGAGGGGGGGGTGGTGGGTTATGTTTTGGCCAGGCCCGATATTTAAAAAATTGGCCGGATCGAGATTCGGATCCTACTGGCCCGTTTGATCCCTTCTCTCTAACGAGGGTGGGAAATCCAGGACGAGATTTTCCTGCAATCCAAACGTGGCTGTGAGTAGCTAGCCGCCCCTGTAGGTCAGAAAATCTCAGAGTGGGGAAAAACGCCTAACGTCTGAGACCCTGTACAGCCTCCCCGCTCCTTCCTTGCCCTTCGAGGGTCCCCCCTCAACAGCTCTTCCTGCTGTGCTCCTCGTGATCCCTTCGGCGGAGATCCCCCACCGATCGTAGAATCTTCGGGAAATCCTCGCCGGGCATCCTCTGCAGAAGATCGACAGGTTTTCTGCGCGTTTCCATATTTCCTGGGATCGTGTGACCTCAATTTACATGTTCCTTAATTTGGGTGAGTTCAATTGTCGCTTCTCTTTCTCTTTTCTGGCTGCGAGCAGTCGGGAGCCTCGTGTGTGAGAGATGGATACTGGAGGACGCGTCTTCACGGTCGACCCCCTCGAGAGGAACGCGGCGAAGGGACATGGGCTGATCACCTGCATGGCTTCCGGGAACGACGTCATTGTCCTGGGCACCAGTAAGGGTTGGGTCATCCGGCACGACTTCGCTGTTGGGGACTCTCTAGGTATCTCTCTCTCTCTCCAACAGAGTTTCTCATTGCTCTTCCTTTGTTCTGCAAGTGTAGGCGTGCTTATAATGCATTCAGACGTGCGGATAGAGTTAAATTGTATTTAGATATTTTTCGTTGCGTCATTTTGTGCTGAACAGTGTAGCATGGCTATGAAGAGTTGGTTTGCCACTGTAAAAGTTGGAAGGGTACCAAAAACATGGGAATCGGAATAGATTATATCCTAATTAACATTGGTAGCATGTCCTAAAATGCTTATTCACTCGATAAAGCCATCTTGACAAAGAATTGCCACACCTTGTCTTTGAATTTAGAACCATATAACAAGTACCGGGCTTATGAAATTTTATTGTGAAACTTAGAATGATCTCATTAAAAAACTACATGAATTCCTCTAATAATCATCATTTTTCTGATGAGCCTTGTCCCATTAAGAATGTGTCCTTGGGCTTTGACAGACGATTACCAGGATTTTGGCGTCTCCATGTTTCAAGTTATTGGCTTGATAAGGAACTTTTGACATCGGATCAAGATAGGTAGGTGGCTTCATGATGTAGACTAACAAGGAGATCTAAGAAGCTGTTACAGCTCCATAGGCTGCTGATTTGAAAATTATCACAGATTTTGCCAGCGACATATATTGTGTCAATTTAATGGGAAGAATTTATCTTTTTTTGAAAATTCTTGCCAAGAAATCAGAAAATTTTCTATGAACGAGCTTTTGTCTCGCTATTTCTTTCAATATGTGCATCTTTGTTGTTCTGAATAAATCATTTAGTTTCAGAGTCCTATAGTCCTAAGATAGTTCATGGTTCCATTTGATTGCAGAAATAGACCTCTCTGGTGGTCGAACTGGGGACCAACCTGTGCACAGAGTAACTGTTGATCCAGGGGGAAGTCACTGCATAGCCACTGTCCTTAGTCATGGTGGCGCTGAAACATACTATATGCATGCCAAATGGGGTAGGCCTCGTATTCTGAGCAGACTGAAGGGTATTGTTGTCAATGCTGTTGCTTGGAACAGGCAGAACATTACTGAAGGTATATTGATGTATGCTGTCAAGGATGCTTTTATTCTGTGTATTGTTTCCCTAGATGCATTCTGATTATGTCAATAACTTTAATGCCCATCTAGCATCCACGAAGGATATCATTCTTGGCACTGATACTGGCCAATTATTTGAGCTTGCTGTCGATGAAAAAGATAAGAAAGAGAAGTACTTGAAATTGCTATTTGAATTGAAGGAACTTCCTGAGGCCATCATGGGTTTGCAGGTACTTTTTGAAAGTTTATGATAGTTCTGCTGGTTCATTTGCCATTATTTTTGTCACTCTTGAGGTAAAATCACACTCATTACATTTACACAGATGGAAACAATTACCCTTGGCAATGTTACTAGGCACTATGTGATGGCTGTTACCCCTACTCGGCTATATTCTTTTAGTGGCATGGGATCATTAGATGTAAGTTGAGTTGCAACATTCTTATTTGTCACTCATGCATTGGCATCTTTTTTCTGGTTGATTACTGCCTTCTAAGGACTCAGCTCTTTCCATTTATATGTTGTGTCTCGTTTTCCACTTTGCTGATTGCATATCTTTCAACTTATGATTATTGTCATATTTTCGGCATTCATTTGCATGCATTGGCCTTCACATCATCATCATCTCACTTCCATGCTTACAAATCTACAGTGGCAGTGTTAACCATGTGTGCTATCTTCCTGATTTTCTATCATTCTTTTTACATTGTAAAGGTTGCTAGAAATTACTACCTTCATTAAATGAACTAAAAAAACAGTATGAAAGGAATGGTTGAACAAAAATGTTACTTTTCAAGTAGAAAATACAATGCAATCCCCACCCAAGGAACAGAAGGGGAACCAAAAATACAAGCGCCTTAGGATTCTCTTAAAGGAAAATCATCTCCAATTCTTGACTTTGGGACGCACGGAATACTTTCATACCATGTGGCCCTGAATGGATTCCACCTGGCTTTCAAGATCTTCACACAGCATAATGTTCAACACACCCTGTTACAGGAATGGGCTTGTTGAGTTCCATTGTTGCAGTAGCTGAAAATGTTGCTGCAGCGGTTAGTGCACATTATGAATTCAAGCAAGAACCTTCAGACTGTCAATAATGAAGCATCTCACAAATGTATGGTCCATTGAAAGATTAATATAAAACATGGGTCTCTTCATTTTGCAGTCTGCACTTGTTAATATTGTGAAAGTAGGTAGGTTCTTCAGCGATACCCCTTATGAAGATGAAAATCTTGGTCTGAAAGGATTCAATTCATAAAATGCGAGACAACCTAACCCTTTAACTTTTAAGCTAGTCAGTGAAAGTTAATTTGTTTTGCCATTTCTACATTAATGAGTGCATCCTGTTGTCTGATGACAGTAGTATTTCGTTTCTGCAGAATCTAAACTGTCTTCTTTGTTCATAAATATATATCTGTAATCTTAAAGACTCTTATAACCCTTACTCGTGGTAATGTACAAGCTATGGAAGTGGAGGCCAAGTTGATTCCATTCAGACACGTCTTCCTAGAAGTTTAATCCATTTCCCTTACGTAGTTAGCAACGTAGTAGTCACTTAGGTTGCTGATCGTCTTAAGGAGGAGGGAGTGATGATTGGGTTTCTTCCTTCGCATGCCCCCCAGGTACAGTTTGGTACCATTTTTCCTCAACGACTTTGCTACTCCATATTTCTATACTTACTCTGTACAACCATATGAACAACATGCCTTTTTTCAAAACTCACTAGATAGAGTAGCTCCTCTGCGCCAGTGTGGTCTTACTACAACAGACTTTCTCTGTCATTCTCTCTCTGACAGACTTTCCCTGATATGATGAGATGAAAACCTTTGCTACCTTTGCCTTCACCGACTTGATGGAATGCAAGACTTGACTTGTTAGTTTTCTTCCATTCTTGTTTATTTATCTTCACAGACGAAGTGAATCCTCCAAAACAATCTTTCTCGCCTTTCCGGTATGCAGCTCCGTCTTTCCATGGGAAGCTCTGCAAGTATTGGCCATTTAAGCTTAGGAACGGGAGAAAGCCTCAAAAAGTTGACAAGAATCTCCTGGCCATCTGGCTACGTTATGCTGCTCTCCACGTTATGCCCACGTTATCTGAAAACCTGACAAGGTTCAGCTGGCGGAGTGGATAGGATTACATTTTAAACTTGTCTGATCTCTTGCTGATGCTAGTTCAACTGTAATGGCGTTTACCATAATGTGGAAACATTTTTTTTTTTGTGAACTTCTTCATTGCCTTTTCTTACATTCGTTTTTTGAAAGTGGATTCTACCATATAACAAAAAAAAAAGGTATATATATGTGCAAGATCCGCGAGTATATTTTCATACCTATGGCTCAGTTGTATATGATTTTACTTTTGCGAATAGAATTCCCCTGTATATCAACCTTTTCTCATATTCATTAGCTTTGTGAATCCTAAGCATGAAATTTTATTAAATGTTATACATCCTCATTTAATGTCCTTTTGGAGTCTTTTTTTTAAATATTCCTGTTTACCTAGTTCTCATAATATTTGGAATTTTATTGTTTCAATTCGTCAGCCTCTTCATCTTGTTCTAGATAATACATGGTTACAGTATTTCTTTCGATTTTTGTAACTACAGAATTTTTACACATGTTGCCAATGCATAACCATGGTTAAACCTGTTCCTCCTCTGGTAAAGGATTCCATATTGATACAGGTGATTTATTGCAGGCAGTGTATACAAATTATGCAGATCGTGCAGTACACTTTATGGAACTTCCCGGTGAAATACCAAATAGGTAAGTTTATATTTTACTATAATATGAATAGCAAATAGTTAACAACATTTTTTTTAGAGCGGTTGCCTTTGGGGAATATAGATTAGAGAACATGATCTAATGAACCAAGTTATTGCATTTACCATTATCATGTCTTTCGTAGATGGTTGGTATGTTTATATCTATATCATTACTTTTTAATTGATGAAGTCATGGTATTATACACTTTCCAACCAAAAGTATTTTTCAATTGTTGCTTTTAACACGGCCAATTTTATCCTCCAAACTCAGTTTTACCCGTATGTTTTTCTTTATGATGCAACGTCATTGTCAAACTAAGGGAGAATATTAAATATGGATGTGCATCTTCTTTGTCCATTGCTTTATGGTCCATCACATGAAGATGGGCTTAGATGATTTTCTGGGGCTCTTTGGAGGATGCATTGTTATTGTCTGCCTTTTATGTGTCTACTGAACCAGATTATGTGAATCACGAGGCTGATGGGCAGGTAATCTTCGGGGTTTGAATCAATGAAAGTCGTTTGAATCGGATTTTGATTTCGAAGTTAGTTGCGACTGAATTGAAATATTTTGATTTCTGCACTTTTGCAGATCTTTTAATTGACATTGTAGTGTTATACTCGCACTATTAGGAACTGCTATATTGTCTAATTGGCATATAAGAAGTAGGAACTGCTAGCTTTGTTGAGTGAGGTCTCAGGATTGGTCATCATCAGAACTAGGATATTGGACTCGTCATCATTAGAATTAGCATTTCAATTTATGTTTGACAAGTGACAATGGAAATTGGTTATTGGGGTGAGAGATTTTGATAGCAGAAATGCATATCTTGTCAGCTACATATATTTTAGCAGCCGGCATTGATAGGGTATTGCTGAAGGACTTATTAAGGAAGGATAGCTTGGGGGGAGCTGAGTTTTCACTGAATATTTTTTATGTCACTTCAATGCACCGCAATTTACATTGTGACAGGTTTTTGATCATAGGACAATGACAGAGGAGGAATATTCCATGCTCAAAAGAATGTTCAAGTTGGGAAATGCAAGAAAAGAGCTTGGTTCTCAATCAACTCACAGCTTATTTCATTATTGCAAATGGAGTTGCTAGAAATGCAGTAGAAGCCGGGGTTGTTAAACCCTCCATCATGAAAAGTGCGGATTTTAGTTCTGGAGAGTCATTTATGGGAGATCACCTACGTATGGTTGATAACAATCATACTATGTATGCGGAAAAAAAGTAGGATTCTTTGGAGTACATCTTCCTTCTCGCTTGAGATCTAGTTGATAATATATTACACATCAACTATAATATGAAATACTCCAGGGGATGGTTGGAGGACTTTTGCTTAAGTGACGGACTTGGATTGGACATGGGGATGGGAGCATGATATTTAATGGCCTCTCCTGTATGCGATCGCTTAATCATTTGGAACTAGAGGGGCTAGTACATTTTCACCAGAAATTTTTCTATTAATAAGGTGCATAATTGTGTATGTCGTCGGGTCAAATAGTGGGATGAGATTTTTTTCTAATGAAGAAGGCAATGGATATGTTATTTGGCGCTTACAAGTATTATCCACTGAATTGGTATTGTAGATGACTGATGTTGGGGTTTTAAGATATCATAGGATACATGTATGCCCATCCCTCTCTTTCTTTTTTGTTATTTTATTGCTACTTGATACCAGCCATTTTCGAAAGGAAAAATTCTAAAAATCGTTGTGGACAATGCCTGACTTTAGTATGAAACTTTCTTGCAGAGAGAAAATTTTTATATTTAACACAAGTTGATTGATGTTTCTTTTAAGGACCTATCTGTACTCATCTTTTTATTTATTTTGAAATAATGAAAGTGACAGATTCCTACTACATTTTATTGAAGTTTTCAGTCAACAGAAGCTTTTAAAACTCAGCTCGTACTGTTAGAAGGCTGGTATAATTTTTAATTACGTTTTATTGATATTCGGTCTTTGAAGCACTATTTAACTCCTCTTCTTTACTGCAGTGAACTTCACTTCTTCATCAAGCAGAAGAGAGCTGTACATTTTGCCTGGCTTTCTGGGGCTGGAATTTATCACGGTGACCTAAATTTTGGAGCTCAGCATAGGTAAGTTTTTACTTTATGAGCTTGTTTATCCAGCACTAATATATCGTAGTACAGGAATTATTCTAGTGTTCTACATTCTTTTCATTTTTTATAAACAAGTTTTACAAACTATATTCTGGTTCTGTGTCGGATGAAGGCCCCTGCTGACATGAAACTTTCCTGAATTTTCTTGACTAGTTCAACTAATGGAGATGAAAACTTTGTGGAGAACAAGGGTTTGTTGGAATACTCAAAGTTGAATTGTTCTGGTGAAGCAATTAAACCAGCATCCCTTTCCCTATCTGAGTTCCATTTTTTGCTCCTCATCGGGGATAAAGTTAAGGTATATATACATTATACCCAATTGTCTAGGTAGCAAACTTTCTAGAAATTTTCTTTTAAGATATACATAATGCCATAACACTGTGAAAAAGTGAAAATGAGATGTTTTGACAAATTGTGGCAATTATTTTTCTGAAAGGCAAAAGAAAATAAATTCTGATATTTAAAAAATATTTTACAGTTCTTGGGTTTATTTTTAGTGTCTTACTGTATGATGCAGGTTGTCAACAGAGTTAGTCAAAAAATTATTGAGGAATTAAAGTTTGATCATTCACCAGAGTCAGCTTCTAAAGGGATTATTGGATTATGTAGTGATGCAGCTGCTGGATTATTCTATGCATATGATGAGAATTCCATCTTCCAAGTTAGTGTGTTTGACATATATTCATGATGAAAACGACAGTTGGTATAACCTTTGACAATTTTAACTCATTGAAGAAAAATACTGCAGGTTTCTGTGAATGATGAAGGCCAAGACATGTGGCAGGTTTATCTGGAGATGAAGGAATATGTAACTGCTTTAGCTAATTGTCGTAATTCATTGCAGAGGGATCAAGTATATCTATTACAAGTAAATGTTTTCATCCCTCCTTGGACGAATATGTGGTGTTGCTTGCCCCACGTAACTATTGTGTGGATAATTTTGAAAAAGCTGCATTCTTATAGTCACTCCCTTGTATCTTCACCCGCCTTCTTTTCATTGTTAATTTTGTTTTCAACATACTTTTATTTGCAGGCAGAATCTGCTTTCGCTGTCAAAGATTATTTTCGGGCAGCTTCTTTTTATTCTAAGGTGAGATAAATGTCTCCTTATTTTGCTCTATATTATCAGCTGCAATTTTAGAACATGTCTTCTGATATGCATTTGATTAGAAGATTTTACCACTAAATTTTCAATTTTCCGTACGGTAGATCATAGACCTTTTATGAATCATTTTCAGGTTTTGTCATCCTGCTTTTCTACAAGAAGTCGTATTTTTGAAAAAGGAAATACATGCGAATGCTTAAATAGCTGAAACTTTGCTATTCATTCAATATTTCAAGAAGTATGAGGTGGTCTTGTCTTCTGTATCTCCTTAACGAGGAGCAAAATCAGTTTGTGTAATACAGCACGAGTTAGCCTAATTAGTTTGCAGTCTGACCCCTTTTAGCCTGATCCTGTACAGTTCAAGATTCATGAAGTCCGAAACCAAAGCTAGCTCATCCTTGTTGACCCTTGTTAGACAGAGTTAGGAAACTCTGTATGGAGCTGTATTAGCTTAACACAGCCAACTTTAAGACATCCTCGTATGATTTCTCCTTTTTTCTCTTCTCTTCCTTTCCTCTCTCATTTTTATTTCTACCTTTTTTCTCTCTTTTCATCTCTCTCTCTCTTCTCTCTCTGCTTTTTCATCATCTATTCTCCTGTTACTGCAAAGAAAACTTAAAAGTTCTGCATCATAGACGAAGGTGTAGATATTAGCTGATTTATTTAGATTTAAAGATGATTAAGGCTTAAAAGGATGTTGTTGTATAGATTCCCCGACTTGTAATCTTCTATACCTTCTTTACTTCTATCTTTCATTTACTGTTTGGCATAGTGGAGCTGTTCTAAAGTTAGATTATAATCGTTTTCTCCTGAACTTATCCATTCTATCAGTTCTTTATTCTTTATGAAAATCTGAAATTATATTCAGTTGTTATTATGTAAACCATATGAAATTATGTTCTTTATTTGTGACTTTGCATGTAGGGAATCTGGTGTTCTTACCGAAACATATAGAAATATGAAACTAAGAAATATTGAAATAATATAGGTGTGGAAATATTAATGCAAATTACGTGGAAAAAACGGTTCTAGTCGATAATTTTTCTTAGTTGTAGATTAATGTCTGATTTTCTCTTATGAATAGACGATTAATGAAACAATTTTTTGTTTTCATCAGATCAACTACATCTTGTCGTTCGAGGAGATCAGTCTGAAATTTGTTAGCATCGGTGAACAGGTATGGCATATGCTATACCATAGATTCTGGAGACGTGGTACATTTTCCTCAGTGGTGTAAAATATCAATTTGGTTGCAATTTTCCTACCATGAATATTGGACTGTGGGATCTATAGCCTATGCTGATATCTGAACTTATCAAAGACTTTTATTCTCAATGATTAATTTGTCTTGCCTAATGGTAGCCTTCTATTATTTCTCTTTCTCATGAAGGATGCTCTGAGGACTTTCTTATTGCGGAGACTTGATAGTCTTTCAAGGGATGATAAGTGCCAAATAACAATGATCTCAACCTGGGTTACTGAGCTATACTTGGACAAGGTTGTTATCTCTAATTAAATGGTTTTATATTTTCTTGAGAATATGGTTGTTTAGAGGAGATATGATGAATGTTCCAAAAACAGAGCTTCAAGAACTCATTGAAAAAAAATATCTTCTGTGATATGCATTGGCCCAATCGCTAGTATTGAGATGTTTATAGTCATCATGATTGCATTGCATTTCTTTTTCTTGCTACATCGTTGAGGATTCTTCTGTGTTAATCTTTATATTGGTGGATTTTATTGAACCTAGTAGCTATCAAGATTAATACCCATGATTAAATCTCCAAAATTTGTCGACATCTTAGTTCTTAACAAAGTGATGTGACATATTCTATTTAAATCTGTCTTCTATAAGTATAATGTATGTAAGAAATTTATTATTCTCTCATTCCATCAAGGGTTTGGAATGATTTTTATAGCTGATTTGGTCCTAAAATTTCCAATTCTGTTTTCAGTCTATCCAAGATGGTTATTTCTGATGTTCCTTGCTGAGGAGCATGTCTGTCTGGAGGGGTGGGGGGTGGGGGGGGGGGGGGGGGGCGAGAATAGAAGAGGAAAGAGGAAGAAGGATGATTGGGGAGTGCACGACAGTTTCTATCCTTCACTCCAAAAATGTCATCAAATTGTCCCACATTTTATAAAGTTCATCCATCCAGAATGATAACTCATGTGAGTAGGAAGCCCTAGTTTAAATAATTTTTGATAGCTATAATATTTAAAAACTGACTTGCAGGTTTGCTTCTCTCTCTGTGAGAGGTTGTTCTTTAATTTCCAGACTATGGTCTGCAGACATTTTAATTTTTTTAGTCTGTAGTAGTGAACTTGAGTTGCGAAATCAATGGTTTAAGGATGAAGATGGATATAAAGATCAATTCACCCGTGTTCTATGGCTGTTCGCTTGGTGGTTCACTTCGTTGTTTTATTACTAAGAATTGTGCGTTGAAATCATTTTACATTAAAAATATGGTAGCTTAATTGATGCAATGCATCTCGATCTTTCTGATCATATACCTCCTGTATCCTTCACATATGGAGCCTATACAGTAATCTCTGAGTATTCCCACGCATCTGTTTTCTTTTGAGAGGTATATCTTTGACAGCTGATATATTTTCGTATGTGCTAATTCCTCAGTCTGTGCTTTGCAGATCAATAGGTTATTATTAGAGGAAGACACTGACGAAGTCAGTAGTGCACCTTCAGAAAACTGGAGTTCCGAGTGCCAAACAATTGTTACGGAATTTCGTGCATTTCTTAGCGACTGCAAGGATGTATTGGATGAGGCAACAACATTGAACCTCTTGGAAAGGTCCCTGTAATGTCGAAGAATATTACCTTCTTCTCTACCTTTGTTGTGTTTTGTTTTTTATCATTATATTTGAGAATTGATATATCTTAATATAATAATGCAGAAAATTGTAGAGTCTTCGGCTATGGAGAAACATTGTTCATATATATATATATATATATATTGATGTATGTATATATTGCTATAAAAAAAGCAGTATGATCTCGATTTAAAACACGGTTGGATAATTTACATATTGGAACACGTGCTGTTGAGTGCATTTGAGTAATTTCCCAACATTTTTGTTAATATTTCAGAGCTCTTTGTTTATATGGGAGTCTCATGTCATATGTTCTATAACTACTCGTGCAGCTATGGAAGAATCGATGAACTTGTGTACTTTGCAGCTCTAAAGGAGAAATATGAGATTGTTGTTCACCACTACATTCAGGTACAACTTTTACATTGTAGCCTCACAATTTTGCAATAAACCATAAGCCAACTCTTTGTATCTGAGAAACGAATGTTACAATGATCTTCATCGCCAAATAGGGCTTTTAAAGGCATGGACGCATGGCACTTATTTTCAACACATTATCAACTTTGTAGAAAAATGTAGATTCGTTAACTTTTATTTCCATGATAGCCTCCATCTTGTTTGCTTCTATTACAAATGGTAAAGTCATTGACTCTGTGGTGTGGTCTCTAGTATTGGGTGTATAGATGTTATGTAGGTTAGGTATGGAGGGTCAGAAAGAACTACGGATTTGTATATTCGGAATTTAGTTTTCTTCTGCTATGAAGTATCCACCTTAAGATAAATGTTCTTTTGTTGTGGACTATGGAATGTATACTGATTCATTGCCGTCTTATCTGGGCCTAAACTAAGTCGTCTTCTTGTCATCTCCAGCAAAGGGAAACAAAGAAGGCACTAGAGGTACTTAAAAGACCCAACGTCCCAATTGATCTTCAGGTATGTTGTGAAGGTATTTATTAACCAATTTTTAGCATCTTAGTTGTTAGGTTTTGTATCTTAATTGTCCATCACATTCGTGGGGTAATATATATATATTTTTTCAGTATAAATTTGCCTCGGATCTTATAATGCTTGATGCTTATGAGACGGTTGAATCTTGGATGATCACTAAGAACCTGAACCCACGGAAGCTGATTCCCCCAATGATGCGCTATGCAAATGAGCCACATGCAAAGTAATTTTGATTAACTTTATTTTACTTGAAATTTTCATGTTTCATCTTTACAAAAGCTATTTTATGCTTATCTGGACCATTGCCTAGCAGGTAGAGCCACATTTTGTTATAGAATCAGACTGCAATATGTGCTTGTCTCCTGTGTATGATAACAAGGGTATCACAACTTGTGCAACTTTGTAAATAAATCATAATGAACAACGGAGCTGCCCTGTGTAACAACTCTGAAGAAGGAACTGCAGATATTACCAGTGATGCCGATTACAATGTTATGGTTAAGGTTTGCTATGGATACTCCATTCGTTATCCCACAAGAATAGTCAAACTGAATTTAAACTAGCAGACGCTTGTGGTGATGGATAGTACTTTGAACCAATATGCTTTCTGAATGAACTACAGAATGAATATTCTGAATGAACCACAGAACGAATATATATGGCTCTCCTTGTACCTGGCCTTTTTCAAGAGGTGTTACAACTAGTGCGAAGTTAGTTTACACTCAAGATAAAGAAGAAAAGAGGAAACGCTTGGTATGATCCCCTAGCATCATGCCCAAAATATAGTCAGTGTAAGAGCCTCTCGGTGGCAACAAATGGTGACCTTTTTTTCCTTACAAACCCATCATTTCTACTTGTCAAACGTACATGGCGCCTGTCCTTATATATATCTTCCTTGGGTTCGTATTTTCTCCTCCTTTTCATACGACCGAAATTTTTCAGGATGTCACCATTTTTGGGGCAAGTCTGGCCGTTTTCTTATCCTTAAACTTTTGGAATGGACTTCCCTTAGAAGTTGGGAAATTGTCTTCACTTTTGGAATGGACTTCCTTTAGTCTTTTTAATGGCACATGAATCATCAAACGTATTCGACCTATGGTCAATTTGTTTTATGATTCATTATGGAATAATATTTTTTTACATCATATTTTATGACAGTCAATGAAGAGTGTTCCTAGATCACAAAGATCTGTTTAACACTGGCTTCAGTTCACAAGGGGATCCAAATCTAAACAGACTCACAATAATAAACACTTGTGAGCCCGCCCAATAATAAACACGCTAATGGGAGCACAAGGGATAAAAAGAATTATTTTTTTAGACTAAAAGTCGTAGAAATTACTTTACAACAGCGTGGTACTACCTAGTTTCATAGAAGCAATGTCCCAAGGTGGTAGCCCACCTGGGGTCTTTCAAGATTCACCCATTCTAATGACAAGTGCCCTTTATGAATATGTTAACAGTTCTTTCATCATCTAGGGTTTGCCAGTCTCATTGTCAATGTTAATTGATTCTAAATGGAACAGCCTTCAGGTGAACTATGAGATTGAAACAACCTATACGCTCTAGTGACAACAAGATCAGGGGCTGTCATATCGGTGTTTGGTAATAGATGCTGGAGTGCATGTCCTGTATTTGAATTCCATCTGACTGGTTCACTCAGTCATCTAGTCATGCACTAGGAACCTGGTCCATTGCTGGCCTTATTTTTGAACTCGAATATCGGCCCCACTTCTGTATATTCGTTGTATTAATAATTTTACCGGCCCCACTTATGCATATTCGTTGTTTTAATAATTTTACCTTTCATCTCTTTTGAGACGATGAGTGATGTATTTCAGTTATAAGCCTTGGACATAGCAGTCATACTCGTGATTTTTTATTTTCTGTATACTTACAGACACATTTTCGTTTGCTCATGGGACGCAGGAATGAAACTCATGAAGTAATTAAGTACCTCGAGTTCTGTGTTCATCGTTTACATGATGAGGATCCTGGTGTGCACAACCTACTGCTTTCTCTGTATGCAAAACAGGTATATATGCTTCTTTTCGTCAGGATGGAAAAATCTTCTGTTTTCTCTTCTGCATATGCTTATTGGCAGGGAATCTGCATGAATCATCTACTTTGTCCGTAACTTGTGTGCATTACATGATGGCTGGAACACATTTATTTGAATTTTAGTTATTTATCTATGTACTTCTGAAGTGGTTGCTGTTGGAACAGTTTTATTGCACTTGGCATCCATTTGGATTTCTGTGATTTCTTAAAAGTAAGAAGTACGTGGATATATGAAAATTCGTCAACCTTACTATCTTTGGCAATGTTGAGAAGGAGGTATATTCGAGGGTAAAAGTATACATCTGATCTAGGTCTTGCTTTCATCCGTTTAAGATTTTTGATCATTTATCAAATCTTTATAATTGTCCATTTTCGTTACACCGTTAGGTTATTGTTACGTTACAATGCCAAAGCATGCTAAGTGTATTCATAGAAAATTTGATTCATGTTAGATTTTGGGATTAGTGTGAATGGTCTTGACGTGTAATTCGGTGAAGACGAAGCAAAGAAAACGTGCAGCAAAAGTTGGAAAACCCATTGACATATGTATGTGTATGGATTTGTTTTTGAAACGCTTTGCTTGATTTTAGTGGGCCCATACTCCGCATAACTGATCGGTGTCTTGATACCTTGTATGATAATCTCCGATCATCACTCTGCTATTTTAAGTCGGAATTGGTGAGATTAAAGGCTGCACAAGATCTGTGTTAATCTCCTATCCTCCCAAGTTTTTTAAAATAAAGAAGAGGATCTTCATCATGGGTTCACATCCTCTGTTATAATCCCCAGACAGGGGATGATGCCATCTAGATGAGTAGCATCAGAGTCACCCTAGGCCTTCCTTGTTTGGACTCTGGGTAGAGAATCAGTGAGCTTTAAAAATGCAAATCCGGTTATAATTTGTTTTTTATCACATCGTATTCATCTTAGCTAATGAAAACTCATAACTCGGGAGTTAAAGGAAAAAATCTGAAATCCAATGCTTCTTGGTCCTGTTTCTCCAGTTAATGCCGCTATTTGTTTTTTTGTTTTTTTATTTTTCACGGTATTCATTTTGCAACCTATTCAGCATCTTTTATCATAATTCAATATATTGATTTCTTCTTCGTTTAATCCGCCTGTTTTGTGATTAGGAGGATGACAGTGCACTTCTTCGTTTCCTCCAACACAAGTTCGGCAAAGGAAGATCAAATGGCAGTGAATTTTTTTATGATCCAAAATATGCCCTAAGACTGTGCCTCAAAGAAAGACGGATGCGTGCATGTGTTCATATCTATAGTATGATGTCAATGCATGAAGAAGCTGTAGCTCTTGCACTTCAGGTAAAATAGTCAGGCTTAGTCTGTCTGAAGCCCTGCTAACCAATTTAATCGGAAAAAAATGTCTATGAGCTTTGGGGCATATAATGATCGTAATATAATTACGTCTTCTGAGCCAGAGAATTATGCGCTGGCCGCAAAGAAAATAGTTCTCTGAAGATTTTACTATGGATATTCTTGTGATTTTTCTTCACTTTCCTGCGGTTCACCAGGTAGACCCAGAGCTTGCTATGGCAGAAGCAGACAAGGTTGAAGATGATGAGGATCTTAGGAAGAAGCTCTGGCTAATGGTGGCGAAACATGTTATCAAGCAAGAGAAGGGAGTCAAAAGGGAAAACATTAGGAAGGCAATAGCGTTTCTCAAAGAAACTGATGGCCTTCTGAAGATTGAGGATATTCTTCCATTCTTTCCAGATTTTGCCCTGATTGATGATTTTAAGGTAAACACTTCTGACTTCGAATTTTGCATTGCCGCTAATACAGGTTTTCGGCTGACGTAGAACATTGGTACTAATTCTTCAACGAAATATAAGAAAACTTACTGAGAACAATTGATTTGAAATAAATACATTTTGCATTGCCATAAAAATGAATTGATTTTAAAACTTGATCATCTTCATCAGACTGCATTTTCAATGCTTGTTCATTGGATTATTGTGGTTGTCCTTTAGTTTATTTGGTGGATCAGCAGGCAAGAGAAGCTATTTCTTCTGAAAACTTGTTTGGTATTTAGTACGCTGAAAGAAAAAACTCTCTTGTTCCTGTTTATTACAACGATGACGAGACAACATCTAATTTTCTTAGTTTCTTCTTCATCGGTGACCTTATTTTCCTTCTTTCTCTAAGCATTTTATTTGAAACATTCAACTGCCTGAATGTTACATCCCCAAGATCTCCACATATTTTCTGTTTCATATTAATGCCTAGAATCCCAATGCCTCACGCAGGAAGCAATATGCACTTCTCTGGAGGACTACAACAAGCAGATCGAGCAGCTTAAGGAAGAGATGAATGACGCTACCTGTGGCGCAGACAACATAAGGAGTGACATCAATGCCCTTGTTCAGAGATATGCCGTCATAGATCGCGACGAAGAATGTGGGGTAATTCCTCTGGACAGATACTATTAAACTGGGTTGACTTGATTTCTCATAGATTTCGTGTACATGCTACTGGGCTATAGATTTGTTACAATCTGGCCCTCTAAATTATTGTGAGATTTGCTCTTGTTGGCTTTATTTCACATATTTTGCCATATGCACTGCTGGACTGGCCCTCTAATTTTTATCTTATGAGCAGGGTTGCCGACGTAAAATTCTGGGGATGGGTGGGGTTCAAAGGATGTCCCGAGGCTACTTGTCAACTGGGCCAATGGCTCCTTTTTACATCTTCCCCTGCGGGCATGCTTTCCATGCAGAGTGTCTGATTGCTCATGTTGCACAGCACACAAGCCGAGCTCAGGTAAGTCTGAAGTGATCATGATTTTTAGCTTCCTTCATTCTGCTCACGTTGCACAGGATCTCTGATTCTCGTTCAGTCATCTGGTAATGTGATCGAATCTTTCTTTCTCCCATCCGCCTCACATTCTAGCCAGATTAAGAGAGAAATCGAAGAAAAAAACTCTTGTACTCGATCTTGAGGTCCCAGCGTTCTCATCCATCAATCAGTAGACTTTCTTTCTAATTAGAATTCATTCATCTGATAGGTGGGCACATTCATTTTAGATCAAGAGAGATCCGGTGAGAACAAAAAACCCGTTTTTAGGTCCAGATCCTGCTGCGGTGGAGGACACTGATTGAGGAGATCCATAGCTCACCCATCATACTCTTAATGAGCCCACATCAAGTGGGTGTCTTTATGATGTATTTATCATTCCAACTGGATGTATTTTTTTGTCTCCATCCGATATCTGGTCTGGGGCCCCCATTTCAACCGCCAATTAGTAGATTTCTAATTTTGATCCAGTTATATCTAGTAAGTGGGCACACTCATCTCAGATTAAGGGAGAAATCGAAAAAAAAAAAAAAAAACCAATTTATGAACAGTAGCCTGATGATCTTTTCATCATCTCTGCGGCTGTTGGAATGACTTTATGAGGCAGCTGGAATGATAATAATTAGTGGGCACATTCATCTCAACTGGATACATTTTTCTGCTGTCTCCATCCGATATCTGGCCCCTCATTTCAACCGCCAATTAGTACATTTTTTAATGTTGATTCAGTCATATCTAGTAAAGTGGGCACATTCATCTCGGATCAAGGGACAAACCGTAAAATTAAAAAAAAAAGAAAAAAAAAAGAACGGGTTTCTGAGTAGTAAGTAGTCTTATGATCTGTGTTCATCATCATGTGCGTGGCTGCAGGCCGAGTTCATCCTGGAGCTGCAGAAGCAACTTAGCTTGATCAGCGGGAGCTCAAGGGTGGAGCCAAGTGGATTGACGGAGGATGGGTCCATTGCTGGAGTGACCCCCACTGACAAGGTCGGAGAGATTTTGATCAGTCCCATCTATTTTTAGAAACTATATCTATGTATATATCAAAGATGGGATTCTGAGGAATTGTTTTTGGGTGTTTGGGGGTGAGCAGCTGCGGTCTCAATTGGACGATGCGATTGCTAGTGAATGCCCGTTCTGCGGAGATTTGATGATCAGAGAGATCTCCCTCCCGTTCGTCCTCCACGAAGAGGCAGAGTATGCTGCTTCCTGGGAGATCCGGCCGCCCCCTCCCTCCAATCAGAGGATTCTCCCCATGATCATGTGAAAAAAATTGCCTTTTTTCTGGTGGGTTTCTCTCTCTCTCTGTATCTCCTGATCTTCATGGTCTATGATGATGATCTTCTATTTCTCTCAGTCTCTCTTTCCCTCTCTCTCTCTCTCTCTCTCTCACGCCTGTTCTTCGTGTTCTACGTTGATGAGCTTCTATTTCTCTCTCTCTCGCTCTCGCTCTCTCTCTGTATCTCCTGTTCTTCGTGTTCTATTTTAATGAGCTTCTATTTCTCTCACACTCTCTCTCTGTCTGTCGTCTGTTCTTCGTGTTCTATGTTGATGGGCTTCTATTTCTCTCTCTCCCAAAGTTTGAGCAAAGTCCTTCTGATTCTAGAGAGAGAGAGAGAGTGCAGCCAGCCTGGGTCCGGTTCACTGCAGCCAGCGAGCAGGAATCTCGGTGGGTGGCCACCGATTGGAATCGTCTCTCATGCCACGGATTTTATGAAAACCCCATTTATGAGATTATTGTTGGGCACAGCAACGAGCACGCACGAAAGGCCGCACCTTTTTCCATCATTTTATTCAACATTATCCGTGCGCCCCCTTTTTCTTTTTAATTAATAGTCAAATTAAAAAAATCTAGCCCCGCCGCCAGCTCCAAGCTGCCGCCCCGATCACATGCCGTCCATCTCGATCTCGATCTCGATCTCCATCGAACGGTTCACCTTGATTTAATCTTGATCGTCGATTCGACGACGAGGGGAAGATCTGAGACCGTTCAGGATGTTTCTCTCCCCAGGCATGACCTCAGCCTGCTAACCGACGCGTATGATGGCGTCTCAACCTCTCTCTCTCTCTGTCTCGCTCGCTCGCTCGCTCTCTATCTCTTTGTGGGTGTAGCGTGAGGACTGTGGGGGGTGTGGGCCCCAAAAGGGATGGGGTTGGTCGTGGTGGCCCACAAAGGTGAGTCAGTCCCGCCCGTCGCCGTTTGGGCAGTCGTCAGAGATAACGTCACGGACGATATTTAACTCGATTCGTAGCGGCGGCGGCGGCGGCAGCGGCGGCGGGTGGGAGCGAGTTGCCGAGTCGCCTCCGAGTTCGCAAACGGGTGAGATTGGGCCGATCCAGGAACGAAAGGCTGATGACAGTTCTCTGGATGAGACCACTCCTGGAACGATGTGGGCCCAGATTGGGGCGCCGTTTGCGCTTTTCGAGGCCTTACATGTCGTGGCGCGATATTATTGGTAGGCGTACGAGGGAAAAGTACGCTGCTGTGGAGTAGCATGGGTACGATTGCCGCACGTGCGAGAGCTCTTCCTTTCGCCGCCTCCCCTCCTTCCCTCCCCCCGCAGGGGTATCATCAGCCCTCTCACTCGATCTCTCGACCCTACAAAAACTGGTGCCCTTGTAGATATCTACTTCTCGCTGCAGGAGATATTTCGGAGGAATTCTCTCCGCTCTCCATCGATCCCAGGATTGGGAGGCAGCACCTCCGCCGGCGGCTGGATCTTCAGGTTTTTCTCTTTCGATCCCTCTATCTCTCTATCCATCTGTTCTTTTCTCTCGGTTTGTTTCGTGTTACTCTCTCCAGCTTTTCGATTTCTTACGCTAAAAAGTGGGAATGGATTTGATTTCTCGGTTCGTTGGGGCGTACAGTTGCCTTTTCTGCCACTTGTTTTTCGTTTATGGGTCTGTGTAAGCTTGCTGTGCGATTTTCTCAGGGAGCTAGATTTGTTTTCTCTGCGTCTTGTCCTACGCCCTACCCGATCATGCGAGCGGAATTCAAGCGTACGTTTAGACTCGTGCTTGGAAACTGGATGGCAATTTCTTCGTGTTCATAACCCCCCGCTCACTTTTCCGATGTTCATTTCTTCTAGGGCATATAGTTAGTTCCCTTGGAGTCGACGATTGTTTATGGTCGTTATTTGGTGACCTCGGGATTTAGGTTAACTCTTTTGATGAAAAACTGATCTGAGGAAGAATGTTTGGGACAAATTCTTCCAAAGTTCTTATTGCGATCTAATCATAGATGTATGTCCGAGCACGGTTTTAAGCAGAATCGTTTTCAGGGAAATTCTCCCTATTCATGGTCGAGTGCTGGCTATTATATGATCTTCGTATCTCGATTGTCCTAGTTCCCCTTAAGGAGTCCGTGGATTTCCGTTTTGGAGGAAAGCTGGCTCCCATTTCAATGGAATTTTCCGGTCCTAATGTGGCAAGGCAATGAATGAAATGATCCATGCATTAAGAGAACTATCACTACCTTACAACTAGTAACCTCACGATTTTTAAGGTTTCATTTCAAAATATTTGGTTCGCTTTCGATTTCCTTTTTATGCCATTCAAAAGTTATGTTTTCAGATTTACTTTCCCTATTCATTGTTTGTTATATTCGAAAGTTTTCTTCTTTATGTCAAATTATCATTTATCACTAGACGGACTTCAAAACTTTCTCCTTATTTTAGGTTTAATCCAAATCTGATTTATGGTTATCTTCCATTTATATTTCCCTGAAAATTACTTCACCTACGAATTGAGGCTCTGCTTGTTTTTTTCTTTTTCCTTTTCTGGGGAAAATCACCTTTCAGTTTTGGACTCTCTGTTAAGATATGGAACATCTTGCTACATTTCCCTTTATTTTTCGCTTGAGTGGGTATGAGATCTTGCCTTTCATTTCCGAAAGCATTCTATGAGGCATCTGCAAAGTCAGATTTGGGAAAATAAAATTCGAAACCTGACCTCTTTCTCTAGGGCAATAACTGGATATATAGAAAGACTGTGACAAGGTTACAGAAAATTAATTTCCTCCGACGATCATATCATAATTCATCTAAGACCGGTTTTATACTCTAGAAACTTGACACTACTGCCTCATGCAAATGAAAGAAGGGCACGCGATAGTTATTAGTGTTATATGAGGAGTAATTCATCAGGCAGAAAATATAAGTATTTTCGGCAATCATGGTATGGATTGCAGCATGTGATGGATGGGATTACGAGGGAGATGAACAGTCGCATAATGGGAATACATGGTGCAATATGTGTCTATCCTCTTACATATGATTCCAATCTAACTGGTAACACCTGTGGCCCCACACGAGTTCATCATACTAATGATGGACTGGGGATTGCCCCATATATATTAAATCCAGATATTCACCTATTTCTCTATGTGGAGGACCACCTGTTATCTCTTTCTGTCTGATAGTCTGATGTTTTGGGCTCTGTGAGCTTTTAGCAGGAAGCCTCTAGTGAAGATGAGCAGTTTGGACGTAGCAAGAGCCGAGCTTGGCCTTTTGATAGTGTATCTGAACAAGTCTGAAGCCAGAGACAAGATATGCAGGACCATCCAATATGGGTCCAAGTTCGTGAGCAAAGGGGAACCTGGAACGGCACAGAACGTCGAAAAGTCAACCAGTTTGGCCAGAAAAGTCTTCCGGCTTCTGAAGGTCGAGTTCTACATCTTCTTCAGTGCTTGTTGCGTCTGTTTATGTGACCCATTGATTCAGTTGAGGCCTCATTTATCCAGTTCGTCAATGATCTCCACGCTCTTATCAGCCCTCCTGCTCAAGGAACCCCTCTTCCTCTCATTCTACTCGGAAAGGTATGGGAGCGCTCCGGTCAACCCTTTGTCAGCACTAAGTCAACGGTTATTTTTGGTACTAAATATATATGGCCATTTCAGTCCAAAAACGCGCTGCTGTCTACTTTCCTGCTCCTGGATCAAGTCGTCTGGGCCGGAAGAACAGGAATCTATAAGGTAAATTCCCCCGTAACTCTCTCTCTCTCTCTCTCTCTCTCTCTCTCTCTCTCTCTCTCTCTCTCTCTCTCTCTCTCTCTCTCTCTCTCTCTCTCTCCTCCTGGTATCTGTCGCTCACTTTGGTAGTGGCACTCTATGGAATAACCATTTACTAATTTTCGGTGATTTATCGACAGAACAAAGAGCGTGCTGAGCTGCTTGGCAGGATCTCACTCTTCTGCTGGATGGGCTCATCAGCTTGCACCACTTTGATCGAGGTCTGGACACTTATTTCTTATCCAACATGAGCAATGATTTCCATCCAAACCCTCGAGCCGGATATATATATATATATATTAATTTGGCGAGAAATGAACGATGCGGCTTTTTATGTCTAAATATTTTTTTTTAAAAAAATTAACTCGAAAAGAAAATGAACAACTTGGATTTCTTTTGTCAATTATTTTATGATCGGCTTGGGTATTTTTTTTCAAACTATTTCTGTGTTCTTTAATTAATGTTATGTCAAAACATTTTTTAAATGCACCCTTAATTAGATGAAAAATGATCCTCTCGGGTTTTTTCTTTTTTTCTTTTTCTTCTCAAATGGGTTTCTATTCCAGCTGGCTGAGATCAGGAGGCTGTCAAGGTCAATAAAGAAGCTGGAGAGGGAGCTCAAGGCGACAGATAGATCCCAAGTAGACTTCCGTCAAACCTGATTTCATCCCGATTCTCTCCAACTCGACGTAAATATATTTTTTTCTTTGGGTGGCCCCACAGAACGATCAGTATCTCACCAAAGTCAACCAGTCCAACGAGAGGGTCCTCTCTCTGGTTAAGGCGTCCCTAGACATTGTGGTCGCCATTGGGCTTCTTCAGCTCTCCCCGAAGAAAGTCAACGCTCGTGTCACGGGCGCCTTCGGATTCATCTCCTCGCTGATTTCTTGCTACCAGGTGCCCCAAATCTGAATATTTTTGATGGGTTCGCTCCTATTCGTCTGAAAGCCTCACTCTTCCTCCCCTCCCTCCTCTTCCAGCTTCTTCCCGCTCATCCCAAAGGGAAGTCAGCGTGAAGGGTGGACTCTACTGCCGGGAGTCTCCAGGGCCGCCAGGACATTGACTTTGAGTCGGATTCTACGGCATACTCTGCATCGTCGTCGTCATCATAATCATCATCATCATCCGGCCTGACCTGGAATCCTGCCGTTGACCTTGTGTAATCACTTGTCCTGCTCTGCTGCTATGGACAGGTCACTGGGTGTCTCTGTATGGTCGCTTTCCCCCGGTTTGTTGGTTCTCCAGATTCTATATCATGAACAAGGATTCATAACGGGAAAACAAAAAAAATGTGGGAGATTTGTGAAGGGGTTGGTAGGGGTTCTCTCTCTCTCTCTCTCTCTCTCATTCTAAATGCGATTTACTTGGACATATGAAAAGTACATTATTTTCAAGAAAAAGTCAGCTGTCGTTGACTACGATGGATGAGGGCATCGCCAGCCTAGCAACGAATCTTATTCATTAGGAATTCGATATCCGGGGGGGACGGCGACCAGTGCCGACAACCTTTCAAGGCTGTCATATCGTCTTATTTAGAACCATTGTCAACGCCTCCCTCCCCTACTATTATTCTCAGTTTGGTCGCCACCGACATGGCGGAGATCGAAGGGATGAGACGAGTGTCCCCACCGAGCGTGGCTTCTCTCTCTCTCTCTCTCTCTCTCTCCCAATCTCCCAATTGACCGACCTAACCAGAGAGTAGACGGTCGCCGGCGGCTCCCCGATTTCCGCCGTTGTCAGCCGTCAGACGTCACCGGCGAAGAAATCCTGCCGCTGAAGCCGACAGAAGTTCCCATTCTCCTCTCTATATCTCTATCTCTATCTCCGAGCCGCTTTGCGCCGTGAGATACAACAGGCGAAGAAATTACGTCCACTGTAGAAACTCTCTCTCTCTCTCTCTATCTCTGAGCCACTTTGCGGCGTAAAATACAACCGGCGAAGAGATTACGGCCACCAGAAACTCTCTCTCTCTCTCTCTCGCTCTGCCTGGCTGAATCTCGGTTCTCAGCCGTCGCCGGGTGTGAACAAGTCCACCGTCGACAATGCGTGTGCATGGGTCACTTCACAGGGGCCCACCGACGCCAAGTCAAGCCTCCACGCAATAATCTAGCATAACAGTCAACGATGGCGTCGACCAAAGCCTATAACTTCCCAGAGTTACCGCCCAAAAGGGACTGAGATTCCCCGGTGGGACCACCTTACGTGAGCGACCGGAAGTCAACCTCTGGAGAGCGACCCGATGGATGAGGATGAGAGAGAGAGGGGGGGAGGGCTCGAGAGTGCGCTTCACAATCGGAGGGCGGGTCGACAGTTCACATTAGACCGGGGGGAGCCGGTAGAATCGGTCAAACCACGGGGGTGAGACTTGGCAGTGCGTGGAGGTCACTAACAAAACGGGGCGCTCGCCAGCTAACCCTCGGATCTGGCTCACGGCGGAACCGTGAGAGCTATGTGGAGCCCACATGATACGGTCACACCCCCGCCGATGTCGCCACGCCCCCGATCTTAATTAACCCTATTTTTGGCGCCTTAAGGAGGCGGATTTCTGACGTGGATACCTAATTAGGGGGCGCGCCAAACGGAACGGAGCATCGGACGGTCAAGACCCCTCGGAGACCTCTCCAGGTCACCAGTGGGGTCCACTTTTGGCGCACCCTCTGCTCCGCGCCCTTATAAAATCCGGCTCTGGTGGAGAAGGGCCTTCCATCCTCCTCCCTCCTCCCCTCCTTCCCTCCTCCCTCCCCCCATCCCCCTTCTCCTCCTTATTCCTTCCTCCTTGCTCATCCAGGGGGGCTCTGTGTACCCTCTTTCTTTCTCTCCTCCCCTTGCAATCTTCTGTGTAATCCCCGTCGAGCGGTAGCAGAAGCAGGAGGAGGGGTCGGAGGATCCAAACGAATAAAGAACCGAAGGTTTTTCCTGGTTGGGATCTGCTGCAGAGATGGCCGGCGGAGCGTTCGTCAACCCCGTCGGGGGCGGGGACTATCCCGGGAAGCTCACGGGGTTCGTCCTCCTCACTTGCCTCGTCGCCGCCACCGGCGGCCTCATCTTCGGCTACGATATCGGAATCTCCGGTGAGTTCTTCTCTCTGTTCTATCTCTCCCCCGTCCGAGATCTCCGGAGTGGGTGTGTGATATCTCGGGGATCTGGTCTCTGCAATGGCTGGCAGGCGGGGTGACGTCGATGGACTCGTTCCTGGAGAAGTTCTTCCCGTCGGTGTACAGGAAGGAGAAGATGAACACGTCGACGAACCAGTACTGCAAGTTCGACAGTCCACTCCTGACGGCGTTCACCTCCTCCCTGTACCTGGCGGCGCTGGTGGCCTCCTTCTTCGCGTCGACGGTTACCCGCGTCTTCGGCCGCAAGATCTCGATGCTCTTCGGAGGCGTGACTTTCCTCGCCGGCGCCGCCATCAACGGCGCCGCCAAGGACGTCGCCATGCTCATCATTGGGCGCATCCTCCTCGGCGTCGGCGTCGGCTTTGCTAACCAGGTAAACCGCCGACGATCCTCCCACATTGCTTTCCCCTGCTCCTCTTCCCCCGGATCAAACGGGAGTAAATGCTCTGTTCTTCTTTCCGAATTCCTCCCCCTCTCTTCCGATCGATCCTTCTAACCTAGAAAGCAAAGATAATCCGGCCAAAAAAAAACTATATATATATATATATATATTTGTTTCTTTTCTCGGCGGGCTCGTGGAGCCCGGGGGGGCAGATATTTTTCCTAATCCCCGGTTTCCCATGTTGGATAACACCCGCCGTGCGTTTACTTCTTTTGCGGGAGAGTTTTTCGAATTCATGTCGCTGTTACTCTGACTTGCGGCGTCGATAAAGTCAAAGCTGTCCTTTTTTTTCCAGCCCAAAGCAAATGCGTTTCATTTTCATTATTTTCACAATCTTCGGATCATTGAATGCGACTTTGACGGCGCAAGCGAAATAATTACAGTCGTTTTGAGCGGTAATTTTGTTGAAAAATCTTGGGAAATCTACTGCAGTCGGTGCCGCTGTACCTGTCGGAGATGGCGCCAGCGAGATACCGCGGCACGCTCAACATCGGCTTCCAGCTGATGATCACCATCGGCATCTTCGTGGCGAACCTGGTGAACTACGGCACCTCGAAGATCAGCGGCGGGTGGGGATGGCGCATCAGCCTCGCCGGCGCCGCCGTGCCGGCGCTGATCATCACCGTCGGGTCCCTCTTCCTCCCCGACACCCCTAACTCGCTCATCGAGCGCGGGAGGGACGAAGAAGCCCGCGACATGCTCCGCAAGGTCCGCGGTACCACCGATGTCGACGCGGAGTACCAGGACCTGGTGGTGGCGAGCGTCCAGTCCCGATCTGTACAGCACCCTTGGGCCAACATCGTGCAGAGGAAGTACCGCCCCCAGCTCACCATGGCCGTCCTCATCCCCTTCTTCCAGCAGCTCACCGGCATCAACGTCATCATGTTCTACGCCCCCGTCCTCTTCAAGACCATCGGCTTCGGCGACAACGCCTCCCTCATCTCCGCCGTCATCACCGGCCTCGTCAACGTCTTCGCCACCCTCGTCTCCGTCTACTACGCCGACCGCGCCGGCCGCCGCAAGCTCTTCCTCGAAGGCGGGACCCAGATGCTCATCTGCCAGGTCTCTCTGTCTCTGTCTATATATATATATATATCTACTTTCTCTTTCTCTCTCTTCTGTGTCTGAACGGGAGGAGGACCTGGTTTTTCCATGGCAGATATTGGTGGGGACGCTGATATGGAAGGTGTTCGGGATCAGCGGGGTGGGGAAGGTGGACAAGGGGACGGCCATCGTCATCGTCTTCCTCATCTGCGTCTACGTCTCGGGCTTCGCCTGGTCCTGGGGGCCTCTCGGGTGGCTGGTGCCGTCGGAGATCTTCCCCCTGGAGATCCGGTCAGCGGGGCAGTCCATCAACGTCTCGGTGAACATGTTCTTCACCTTCGTCATCGCGCAGGTGTTCCTCACGCTGCTCTGCCACCTCAAGTTCGGGCTCTTCTACTTCTTCGGCGGCTGGGTCATCGTCATGACCACCTTCATCTACTTCTTCCTCCCCGAGACCAAGAACGTCCCCATCGAAGAGATGACCCGGGTCTGGAAGAAGCACTGGTTCTGGGGCAAGTACATCGACGACTCCGCCACCGCCGCCGCCGCCGCCACCGCCGCCGACGTCGAGCTCAAGAAGACCACCCAAGTGTAAATCGCCCCCCCCCCCCCCTCCCCCACCCCACTGCCTCCCTCTCGCCGCCGCCCAACGCTCCTCCCCATCTTTCATTCCTTCTCACGGCCGGGGGTGTATCATCGCCGTCATCTTTGTGGTCTGCCATGGATTCCAAAAAGGGAAAAAAAACAAGAAAAAAGATTTGCCTTTCTCCTCCCACCTTCCTCGCCAGTTCATCTGCATGTGCGATTAATCGTTAGTGTTCTCGCCTAAGTTTCCTCTCCCCCGTTGCGTCAAATGGAGCTGATTAGTCAACTCCGTAGTCGTCGGCGGGGCCTTTTTTGTTGCTGTTTGTGGATAAAACAATGGCGGTGGTGGAGCAGGCTGTCGCTGTCCCGACAGGAAGACTTCTCGTGGAGATGGGCAGTTTTCCTTTGAAAGGATTCCCACACACAGTCGGGCTAGCAGCAGTAGCAGCAGGAGTTCATTGATTGGATCCTCTTGGCCGCCGCCAGCTTCGACCTCGCCGCCGCAACGTGCTCTTTCTTGGAAATCAGAGAAGACCCACGTGAGGGCACTCACACGCACCTCCACCCCTCCCCCCCATCTCTCTCCCTCTCTCTCTCTGAGTCCGAGTTAAAAAAAAGCATAACTTTTAAGTTAGATGGTGTGGCCTGTGGTCCTCGTCTCTTTGTATGAGCTGGGGTGTCGTCGTCTTCAGCATGCATGAAAAGACCCGCGAGCCAGTAGCAAACCGTGCTCTCTCTCTCTCTCTCTCTCTCTCTCTCTCTCTCTACCCGAAACAACACTTAGAGAGAGAGAGAGAGAGAGAGAGAGAGAGAAGAAGGGATTCCTCGGAGTAAAGCAGACTCCAACCATTACCCCATCTGGGTCTCGAGGTAGTCTTCCTTGTGCAAGAGGACAGCTTAAACCGGTTCACGCGATCCTCCCGAATCTCCAATCCCCATGGCCACAACCTCTTCTTGTTAAGTCCCCATGGAGACGAAATCCCCATACTCCCTCTCTATCCCTCTCCGTGAGTTCTCTCTCTCTCTCTCTCTCTCTCTCTCATCTTTTCCTATCACGGAGAAGAGAGAGAGCTCACGTGTTTCACAGACCCCCGTCCTCTCTCTCTCTCTCTCTCCCTTCCCTGTGATGGACGGCGGCGATAAATTCCATCACGCGCCGGCGACGGGGAGGAAGGCGGCGAAGGGATAAGAGACGCTTCATCCTCATCCCCGCGACCAGCTGGATAGAGCCTGTAAAGTGGCAACGTCCCACGGGGAAGAACCCTAATCCCACATCGGTTCCAAAAAAAAGAAAGTCATAAAAATACGAACACCTATCTAAACCATCTACTGGTATTTATGGATGTTATTCTCTCTTAATAACGGCTAATTACTATGGTTTTAGACCAACATGCTGAGCTGGATGCAGTAACCGCGAATTTAATGGCTCCCCGTGGTCAACCGGTGGGATCCCCCTCCCACCGGCGCAATAATGTGCTCATAAATTGCGGCGATCTTTGCCTTCTTTATGGAATCAGCGTGGAGGCTATGGAGTCACCGGTGCCCAGCTCAAGTGGCCGCAGTGGGTCGGTGACCGCACCACATTTAACGCGTTGACTCGGTGGGCGATGGGTCAAAACGATTAGAAGCCCAAGGCCCACCGACAGACTGGCGACCGGAATTGGGCCGAACTTCTCCACCGAGGGCCCACGACTGAGATCGATCCAACAAAAGTGCTGCTGCTCCTACTGTGTATTGGGCCAGGCCCAATAATCATTGGCGACAGGGTTGGCGGTGTCCAGGCCCACAACCGTTGGACTACCGAACTTTAATACCAGACGCAGTTTCAAAAAATCAATTTTTCAGATTTTTACGGATTTAATATTTAAAACTGAATTTCAAAAATTAAGCCTTTTTAAAATACGGTTAATTTAATATTATATCCAGAGCCTGGGTGACTTTGTAGGGCTGCCAATGGGCCTTGTAGGACTGACTACCATCTCTTTATTGTGCGTATGTTGATTAATTTGTGAATAATTAAATTCCTGATGAAAATCTGGAAAATAAATGATTGCAATTTATGGATGATCTTAGGAAAATGGTGAATTTACATGGTGTCACCATCTTGGTTGGGATTAGTGCGGTCGATATAAAAAATTAAGTCAAGTTCAAGCTCAGAATGAGACAAAGTGCATGATATTGGTGGGGGCAAGAATCTACCAAGAACCAAACATAGTGATTTCAGTGTTGGGGCATCAAAATAAGATATAATAAGAAAATAACCGTACGAGTTAGTTTGATTTGGTCCTTATTTTGGGCTGGGTCTAGGCTTTTGCTGGCTTATAGCCTCTCTCTCTCTCTCTCTCTCTCTCTCTCTCCAACAATGCATGAAATGCACTTGCTAGTCCTACCGAAGCTTTTTGGCTTGAGTTGCATAGTTCTTGCTCTAGAATGTTACTTCACCAAGCAAGCCTAGATGACGAGGTGATGAAGAACACTACTTTAGGAAATGCAAAAGATTTGAAGTTAGTGACATAGGTGGGGTCTGAAGTGTGAAAAATATATTACAAGGTTGGAAGGGCCAAAGTTAATTCAAGCATGAGATTCAAATGAGCAAGCCCACATGGATAACAAGTCAGATTTATAGGATTAGTCATTGTTTTGATATTAGTTCACTTTTACCTCATTCTTACATTGATTGAATTTTTTAGGGGCAAATTTAAAGGTCATCACATTCTAACTTTGAAGGAGAAATAATAAGATAATTTTCATTATATTTGTGAGATTTGTACTTAAGATAATCCTAGTGGATTAAGGGGGTCATTTTAATCACTGTGGATTCAAGGGTTTTCAAAAATATTCCTTTTGTGGACACTCAAGACTAGATTTATATTCTACTCCAACTTTTACTGCATCTGGTAACCATGGACATGGCTATAGATTATCTTCTATGATTTAATAGGCTTTGGTCTTTTACAGGGTATAGCTCATTCTCTCCTTTACAACTAAATATGATCTCTTTAGTTTTCTAATCCTTCAAACCTTCTTCCAATCTTGACCCTCAAAATATGGACCATATGATTTATTTTTTTTAAATTCTTGTTCAAAGTACCTACAAATCTAATTGATTATTGATAAACCCTATATTTTTATAATTAGAAGACCATCATGAAACTCTTTTTTTGTTCCTAATCTTTTTCAGTATGCTAGATAAACCTAAGTTCACTCACACTCACAGCTCAAATTGACCATATTTTTGTGACTTTTATCAACCCCTGCAATGTCCTCAAAAGTTCTTAACAATTGGACATTACATTTTCACCATTTTCTTTTGCAAATATTAATTCAAGCCCATTAAGCTATCTTGGAAAATACCTAATAACAATGAAAGTCTTCATCATAGATTGAGGCCATTTTTCATGGCCATCTTCACGATGGAATCGAGAGAGAGAGAGAGAGAAGAAAATAATTTCAAAAGGGGTAAAAGATATTTATAAATATGGAGCAAGTGGTGAATTTATCTTTTCGTGCAAGGCAGATATCAAAGAAATATATAGGTTATGCTAGAGATGAATTAGGGTTAGCAGATTCCTTTGGTGAGTTAAAAAAGAGGGACACCACATCCAATTTGAGTCTGCCTGATAGTTGGTAATTACTCTAGAAAGTTCCATTTGAAAGCGCCCCAAGATCTCTCTTGATTCCTTGAGCTGGGAGCAGTATTTTAGGGACTTATTTGGCACAATTTTACGCAATTTGTGGGAACTAACTGGTAATTTTCAAAGTTTTTAGGTGGTCTTATTTAATTACTTATACCAAGTTTATTATTAAATCATGTGGACACAAGTATCTTCATGCCTTAAATCAGTAATGGGCTAGAGAGTAATTTACACAGCTGATTTAGACTTATCCATCTATCCATAGTGGGGATAGAAGATCTCGTTGGACCTCATCCGGAAAAAAAGGTGGCCCGCGTTGACTAATCGTGTGGCCACCAGTGACGGCGGCGCAGGAAGACAAAAATATGTGGACGTAGACTCTCCTACTTTTATCCGTCATAATCCCAAGTTGGCCCAATAATGCGATTAAGACACATCGGGCCCAGATAGGATCTAAGCGAGATCCGACCCAGAGAAGTTGGACTCGCAATTAGTTAACTTAGTTAATCAGGTTTAGTCCCCAAATCCACCACCTTATTACCGATCAGCCTCCTCTAGCCGTCAGATGGGCTTTTCCAAGGCCATCGTGGAAACGGCGGCGGCGGAGCCTTAGCTAGCTGGTGGCCCAGCAGCTGACGAGCAAAGCCCGTTTCACCGATTCCTCGGCTCGCCGCCGCCGTTCGTCGCCGGCGGCGCAGGGATCGCCGCGGTCCGCCGGAGCGGAGGACGGCGGCGGCCCAGAAAGCACGGCGGCGGTGGAAGTCGTCGCCGGAGAAGACGAGGCCGTTGGCCGCCGGCCGACTAGGCGGAGCAGCCGCAGGCCAGCGGCGCACTGCGCTTCGGAGCGGCCCCGCGCCGCCTCTACGCCAGCGATCTCCCACTCCCTGCTACTGTACGTCATCTCGGATCTAAGGAGAGTCAACCCCTCCGGCGAAGAAGCGGAGAGAGAGAGCCGCCACCCAGAGACGAAGGAAGCGACGGAGGAGCAGAGATTATAGACGGTTTTTGGGAGACTCTTTTCTTCAAAAGGGAGGCGATGGAGCGGTATTTATAGCCGGAGCTGCAGCCTTAGGCGGTTTTCGGGGGGTGAAAAAAACCGCCTATTGGGCTTCAAGCGGTTTTTCTCTGTTTGTCTCTGTTTTCTCCCACTTCCCGGCGATGGGGCCCACCTTGGCCCATCCACGCGTCCACCAGAGATGTGGATAAGCACGGACACGCGGCACAGCAAGGTCAGCCGACTTGAGGCGTTAATGGGCCACATTAATGGGCTATCCTATGCGAGCCCATTCCCCAGGGAAGTCTTCTTCCTCGACGAGATATCAAGCAAAAAAGAGCCCAAAAAAAGTCGCAAAATTAACGCTAATTTTTTTTTTAAAAAAAGAGCGAGGGAAAAACCTTTCGTTCGATAGGACAACCCACTGAAGAAGGCTTTGACTTTCAAGCAGTCAAGATGGCTTTGACTTAAGCAGGCTTTGACTTTCACTTCTTGACCAAAGTTTTACAGTTGTTAAGAAGCTTAAAAATCCCATCAAAATATTTTCAGTTTATTGGAAGTCGAAAGAAAGAAAAAATCACAGTTCTAACCCGGAAAAAAATAATTTTCTTTTCTTTTTTACTAACCCGGAAAAAAAATTCTCAGTTGACTCTGAAATCGGTACGACTTGTGATCAATTCCCAATTCCCGGTCCACAGTCATGGGGAAATCCTCAACCCCCTCGTGACTTTTTTGACAGATTTCCTTGACTTGTGAAGTCAATGTTGTATCGTTTGTCTAAAAATTTGTCGTCGCTGACGCTACCAGATCATCTGCTTAATAAGTCGACGGAGGTAAACCTTCCCTCGGTAGTGTTGTGGAACTCCCCCAGGACGGCACGCGCTCGGTCAACCCAGTGCTGTAAGTTGCAGTGGCGCCGGATCCTCATCTGCGGGTGCCCTCATTTTCTAAGACCTTGACCCAAATCGATGTCAACTCCGCCGTCTCCCTCCGGAGAAACCCAAGATCCAGCCGCAATTCCACCACCCTGGTTCTTGGGACGTAGTCAGAGCGCTGACTCTGCGATTCTACGGCTCTCTAAAGCAAGATCGAACGCTGAACATCCGCTTCAAGCCCTTTCACATCCTGCAGCCATCCTGGTTTGATTCGAACCTGCAGAAAGACTTGCCGTCGGGGATGGCACAGAAGGAGGTGCTCCTCACGAGCTCCCTGCCATGAGACGTCCTCAGAGGTTACGATCCAGGGGAAGGGTCGTGCTTGCTCTTCCATGGGGTGAAACAGTGGAGGGGAGGGAGCCTTCTGATCAACGAGGAGATATTCATGCGCGCAAAAATGGCTGAAGAATCTCAGCCCGAAGCACCCCTCCACAGAAGTCGGAATCTCACCGGCCCTCAGGGCTTGTCAGGAGAAAGAGAGAAGAGATGACCAGGGCCAAGCCCAGAGGGAGCAACCTCCAGGATCTCCTTCGGAGGAAGCAGTGCCCTTGGCGATTTTCAGTGAGAACTTCACTTTTTGATATCCGTTTCAGGAAGACAACCTCCAGTCGCCGAGGAGGGGGAAGAACCAGGGAGGACACACGGAAGACCTCTCCAACTTCTCACCCCCGTTCATGGCTGGAGATCGCGTGATCCCACAGAAAACACGTCGCAGAAAGAACATTAGCAGAAAATATAATCACCCATCTACTTGGGCCCCCAGCAGATCAGATGCAAGAGCTTCTCCTCCTTCTCCGCTGCCCGAGCGCACTTCTCCGCTTCTGAGATCTCAGCCACCGGAAGCCTCCTTGACTGCTGGCTCTGCCGCCGTCCACCGGGCGTCATTTTCTCCTTCTCCGCCGTCCGAAGCTCCGCCCACCTGAACGCCGCCTCCCGACGGCAGTCCCGCCCGTTGCACATGCCGAAGAACAAACAGATCCAGGGAGGAACCAGAGCAGGAACAAGGCCAACCTCGCTCTCGTTGATCTCCCTCTCCCGATCTTCGACGAGGTGAAGCCATAGAGGGAGGGAGCTATATATGGAGAGAGATGGGGGGGTTGCTGGTATCGGAGAAACCGTGGAAACCAGTCCGGCCTGAGTTCTCGCGCTTCAAGTCCGAACCTTTTTGGTGCCCACAGGATCTTCCGATCCCACTCTCGGCTCGTTAAAAAAATTGCTTCTTGAGCTTTCTTGTCGTTCTTCACATGCTCTTATGACTAATAAATGGGTGCTTTTAAATGCTGTAATATTTAACACGCGATTTCTGGCCATCAATTTCAAGGAAAAGGTCGAGGAGAGAGAATGTGCCCATAGATTTTGAAAGAGAAAAATCTAGAACTATATTATTTATGCATGTCTGCTAGCATGTTGGAGTGCGATGCCAGGGAGATGGGCTGTTTAATAATTATATTTCATCTTTATATATTTTATAATATTTTTTAAGAAAAGGACGGGGTATATTTATGTCACGTCATGATTATTATCACGATTATATTTTAAAAACTGAAAAAAACTGATTTTGAAGGGGAGACCTACGCGACAACGGAACGAAGGCTTCTTCCCGTTTCCTCTCTCTCTCTCTCTCTCTCGGCTTGAAACCCACAAGAATATGTCCGTCATATACCAGCACTCAGTTTGCGGTGAAACGACAGGCTAGCGACCCCTGGTTTTGGAACGGCCATGGAAGCTTCCAAGAAGATCTACCTCTCTCTCTCTCTCTCTGTTCCCAAGAAGAGAGGAGACCACGCCGGGGCAAAGCGGAGTGACATGTACTTGCACCAGAGTGAACATGGGGCAACTGGGTGTGTACAATCGGGCATGCCCAGGGCTCTCCACCACCTGTAATGACCAGCCATGAGCAGGCACAATCAAGCACACAAGTGAGCGCAAGGATGGTGAGCAGTTACTATCTAAATGTGGGCGGGCTGGTGTGGGCGTATCTAGATGAGAGTGGACGCAAATGAAGAACTATTTTGAGACATAAATGTATGCGTGGTGGTGGGTTAAACAGGTGCGGAAAGGATGGGGAAGAGGGTGGAGAAGAAGATGGAGAGCTGTCTACCCCATGTAAAGAGATGACTATAGTTACTTGAGCCCAATTTTTTTAACTTACTGGAATGGTAAGTTCAAATGTTTACTAGTATGTTAATATTATTTTTAATATTAATAATGATAATATGATGATGCAAAATCATTATTTTGCTCATGCACATTTTCTCAATAATGAAAGTGCTAATTTGCAAAAACGTGAAATGTGCATTGGACAAGAAATTATAGAAAGTGAGCAGGGAAAAAGAAGAATAGCCATGTAGTTGTCTTCTTCAAAAAAACCATGTTGATCTTTCTAATAAATCGATGAGATGGCAATTTGGTGATAGCATAACAGAGGAATAAAAGTAAGCCATGGTTGAAGAATTTTGTACTCAATAAAAAATGGTAATATGTGAAAACTAGTTTTTTCACCACCACCAAAGGATAAATTGAAAAAAATTCAAATATGCTTGAAAGATATAACATGATATTGGTGGCAACCTGCATAAGTCTAAAGCAACGACTATGACTATTGGTTACTATTGACTTGAGCAAGCTGCCCAGGGTGTTATGTGGCAGGGTCATCGAGTATTAGATGAATGGGTATTTTGGTGAATGGAGATTAATAATGGATATATTGGAACCCACACTTCATCAAGATATATGTATTATGAATTTATATAGTGATGATATTGCACATAAGCTCTTCTTATGTTTTTCTTGCAGATTTGAAAGTGAAATATGCAAGAATGTGAGATAATAGATTTTGGGCTTGTACATTTTATTTTTTATTTTAAAATTAAATACGGTGATAGAGACATTTTAATTTCTCAAGAGAGACATAATATTAACTTGTCAACAAAGTTTAAAATAGATAATTACAATGTTCGTAACATATCAATGAATGTTAATAGAAGTTGAGCTAGAATGATTGAGAAGAAAAAGTAGAGGAAAAACATTTCAGTGGTGACTTTTTGGACTCATATTTGCCTAGAAATATCTTTTCAGTTGAGTTTCCTATCTCAATCAATGCACAATCTATCAAGGATCCATTAAAGAACACCAATTATAATTATATTAATGTTCAAGGGTCCAGACATTATGGATGGTCTTATACACGTCAGATTTTTCCATTTAGACTGCACTAATAATAAAACAGCAAGTAGCATGGGTGATCAAAAAACAATTACAGACAATGTACTTACCCTTTTGAGTATGAGGTATTGTTTGGAATTCCAAAATCAAGTCATGACAACTCCATCATTAACATAAGTTGAGTACATGGTGACAACATTAAAAGCTTTACAAACAAGATCGATTTACCATATATTTCAAGATTTCAAAAAATTCAATAGGGAGAAACATCTATCTTTTTTTATAAGAAATTTGTATTTTGAGATTCCGAAGAATCCAACTTTTAATAGTGCAACAAAACATATTGGCATCCAACAATATTGTATTTGAGAAATTAGAAAAAAAAAGACTTAATTGAAATTAGGTATTTTTATTGAAGCCAAGACCAAGCAAGAGATTTATTTTCTGAAACATTGAACAATGAAAGGTCATCATCTCCTGTTACATCTTGACATATTGACGATTTTACATCAATCCAAGGCCAGCATTATAAATTGATGAAAAAAATAAATTAAAGCTTCTTTTAGGACTTAGTTACTATTCGAGGTCTCACAATATTCAATGTATCTTCTAATGCTTCACAAGGACAACTCATTTTTATGGTTAAAAAGGGCATAAGTGACTTTGAGTTTTGCTGGATTAACAAAAGTAGTGATTACCCTCCTTAAAAGGAATTTCCTTGAGCACCGTCCTCATCAATTCTATTTTTACGTGTGATAAGATTCCTATGTTTTGTGAACGAGTGATAGTTATGGAGTTGTAGAAAACCATTCCAACGAGTGTCTCTATAGGGTCTTAAAGTTTAGTTACATTTTAGTTCCTATATTACAATATTTAACTCATTTAGCATGTTCTTATAACTCTAAACTTTCATTCATGACACATTAAAAATATTGACTTGATGATGATTTGAGGGAGTTGGTATAGCTTGAGTTATGCAGAGTTTTAATCTCATCCTTGAATCCATGAAAGACTTAATTTCTTTGAAGATCATTCACCTTGAGTTCACAAGATGAAAAAAACCTCTGACCCTTGAATCCACAAAGATTTTGATCCTAAGTCTGCAAAGATCAAAATAAATTTTCTAGATCAAAAAAAGTTGCCAAAATTCACTTGTAGATAAATAAACCCTTAGATGAGGTAAGTTTAATGAGATTAATAGAGATAAACATGGAATGTCTCCAAGGCTACAAAAAGGGTCTTTTTTATGTCAAAAATTTAGTTATTATTTACTTAGATAGGAGAGGGTTTTATTAGAATGTCCCTAAGGAAAAGGGAGATTCAATAAAAAATTCCTAAGGAAAAGGAACACACTTAATAAAATAGGAGAATTATTTACATAAAAAATATGAGAATTTGAGACATTGAACATATGTTCAAATCTCTCACTAAGTCATTCAGAACTGAGTTTGGGCCAAATTATATCTTCATGTATCTTGGGCCTTTGATCTAGTAGAATTGGGCTGAAATTGAGCTTGTACTCTATTTGAATATGAAATTAATACATTTTCAGCTCCTTAGAGGCATATGATGATAGTTTTTTTCCACCTAGGTCAAAAACAAATCATCCTTCTTTTGAAACGTTTTGACAGGCTACGTCATTTTCTTTGTCCTAGAACATTTCTATACTTCCGAGATCTACCTCAATGGATGAGACATCCCATGCTTCCTCTCTTGTTGGAACTATGGCAACACACTAGTTGTGCCGCTACCCTCTGGAGTCAGACTAGTTGTGCATTTCTATACTTTCTTTGTTGGATCCTCTTCCCTCTCTCTACTGTCCACTCAAATGCCAGAACCATCTGGAGTCAGACTAGTTGTGCGTTTCTCAAGAGAGGATTGAGTGCTCGAGCAATGTCAAATGTTCATCAGAACTCTACTCCCTCCCCCTTGTTCAGCACCCATTGATCTCTCTCTCTCTCTCTCTCGCTCTCGCTCGCTCTCGCTAATAGGAATTGGGTGTTACCCACTTTTGGGGTTGGTAACAATGTTCTTTAGTGTGCAGCCATAATTTCCGACCCACTCTGCAGCCTTATTTGCCAGATGAGAAGTACAGGACTCGATCTCTCTACTCCCAGAAGAAAACAAGATGACGCGGTGCAGAGGCTGACTGAGATGTACTGGAGTAAGGCCATGGACATTGGGTGATGGCTGCCGGTTGATCTCCTGAACCCGCAAATAAGGCTGCAGAGTGTATCATTTCTTGAGAGAGAACCTCCGCACAGGATGAGAGGGACAAAGACAACATATGAGCTGTTGGTTTTACAACAATAGATTGACCCATCATGGTCGTGTAAACAAGGCTGTATAATCTAGTTTTTCTAGAGAGAGACTATAAGAAATAATTTGTTATTTCTCTATGCTTGGGAGCCTGTCATTCTCTCTATCTCCCTCTCCATCAGTCTTATACTATCTTCCATACATGATGAGATCGATAGGTAGGTAGGTAGATAGATATATAGATAGTTAGATAGATAGTGAGAGAGAGAGAGAGAGAGAGAGAGAGAGAGAGAGAGAGAACTAGTTATCTCCTGATCTGGTCAGTGGTAGGATAAGATAAGAGGTTGATCAAAACAGGATGAGGGAGACTCATTTTTTAATATGGAAATTGATGAAGAGGGAAACGTTGACTGAGAGTCTCATGAAATTGTTGACCGAGCCGCCCGGTAAGGTCCCCGGACCCATCAGCTGACCACATCGTCTAATGAATAAACGCCAAGTTCCTACATTTATGACTTTTAAAGTATTTCCCCATAAGTTATTATTACATAGTTTTTATCAATGATTATCTCATTGGCCAGTCAACTTTGCTAAATCTATTAAAATGAACAAAAAACCCACTGAAAGAGAGAGAGAGAGAGAGAGAGAGAGAGAGTTAGGGTTTTGGGCCTATTAGTCAACTTATGTTTAAGTCAACTTTGGCAAATCTTTGCGGATTCAACTAAGGATGAGGTCACGTAGGGGAACTACTCATAATTTCATTAAATCTTAGACTGGTTGATAAATCAAGGGTTTTTCATAGGGAATTAAAGCCAAATAATCCCTCTATAATCAATCTATGAAGCCAATCCCCATACAATCTCCGTGGTAATTTTGTAACAATCGGGCCAAACCCCATCCCACACAAACCACGGATAAGTGAGACCCAAAGATATTTTCGATCCGGTAGTAAATTATAAATTAATTTTATATTATCCCCTAATAATTTACCGTTACGATTTAAATGTAAGCGTACCATGAGACCACACGTGTAGTGTAGGACGACGTCTGATCAAAGAGAGACGGGTGGAAAAAGAGATGATGGGCAGGCTCCACGTGGCAAGCCAAATGGCAGTGGCATCCTTTAATGCACCGAACAGCCAAAACCGCCGAAGCCCCCCCACCCGGGGAAACCGGACCGATCCTTTGCACCTGGCCTCGGACGTCCCTATCTCCCCCACGGCTGCCAAACCCATCTCTCTCTCTCTCTCGCTATCTATCTATCTCTGTGTGTGTCAGCGTTCATTCCTACGTGATTTGGTGAATCCTTTCTGATAACAGTCCCGTTTTAAGAAAGAGTGGAGCCCGAATTGTGCACTAAGGAAAACTGGGGGGCAGGCGGGAAACAACCCCCCGGTAAGATGGGACCAAAACCAGCGGCGCTGGTTCAGCTGGTTTTCCTCGCGTGGGAGCTCCTCAAATACCCCCTCCTTCGCCGGCCCCCACGCCCAAGCGATAACAGACCAGTCACGAGATAGAGAGAGAGAGAGAGAGAGAGAGGGAGATGAGTTCTCCGAGCAGAGCTTGGATGGTGGCGGCGGGCGTGGGGGTGGTGGCGGCGTTGAAGGACCAGGGGGTCTGCCGGTGGAACCACGCCATGAGATCGCTCCACCGGCACGCCAAGACCAGCCTGGGCTCGTCTGTCGCTGAAACCCGGCGGCTGTCGGCGGCGGTTGAGCGGAGACCGGCGGCGGGCGAGCAGGTGGAGGAGTCACTGAGGAGGGTGATGTACCTCAGCTGCTGGGGACCCAACTGAGAGCAGACACGAGGAAGAAGACCCGTCTGGGGATTTCCCAGATTTTCTCTCCTCCCTCCGCCGTATAGAACCCGAGCTAGGATGTATATTTTACGTGTGGAACCAAGGATTTTCACTGCAACTCTTGAGAGAGAGAGAGAGAGAATGGTGGTGTGCCAGAAAGAGATCAAACCCGGTCAAACCAAGAGCTCTATTGAGCAAAAGCCTCACTCTGAAGGAGAAACTCTGATCCATCACGACAGTACGCGATTTATAGCACATCTGACAGACAATTCATCACCTTTTTACAGTAAATGACACGCAATCATCTCATTTAGTAAACAAATAGTTTAGAAAAATGAAGGAGGTCAACTCAGACTGCTGATGTCAACGTTTTCGGGGAATCTGAATGTTTCGGCGGCGCCGAACTTCCTCCGTTCTTCGGAGCCCTCGTCGCCGGAGTCGCAGTTGTCCGAGCCGCTGCCGTCGTCGTGATGGCCGGCGGAGGAGAGAGAAGAGGCCTCGTGGACGCTCTTGGATCGGCAGTTTTGGGTGGCCAGCATGTTGACTTGACCGAGATGGGAGATCTCCACCACCACTGTGTCGTCGTCCTTGGGAAGGGGCTGCTTCCATGGCTCGCCGTCAATCCTCATGTACGTGCTGTCCGCCGCCCCCTTGTTGAACTCAAAGCGAACCCTGTGCGCCTGTTTTGCCGGAGAGAGAGTAGTGACCAGGATGAGCTCAGATGCGAGAGGATTTGACCAAAAAGGACGATAAAGTCAACCAAATCAAGTTGAGGTCGGAGATGGTTTGAGTTCACCGCAGAATGGCACAAACGTCAGCTCAATTCTCCGCGAGATGAGAGCATGTTTGACCCAAATCGCCGAAAAGTTGACTATAGTCATATAGCGTGAGAGATTATCTCCCTACCTGTGCCAGCCGTGTCCCATGGCCTTTGGGAGCGAGCAGAACGAGCCCATGCCAGGCGTCTGTGAAGCCGACTATCTCGAGAAGCCCATCATCCACAAGAGGCTCGGTCAACTCACGCTGCAATCAGAGCTGTCAGTCTGTATCAATGGAGAAATCCAGTTTACAATGATCGATCATCATTCTGTGCCCCCGTCTCAAGAGAGAGAGAGAGAGAGCTTACATCTCTCTTTTTCCTGTTATCTGGGGTTCCCCAGGGATTAAACCCTCCAGAGAAGCTCGGCAGGTTGAGGCAAATGATCGATCTTATCCTGCGGCATATGAAAAAGCTCATACATTAGATTATATGCTTTAAAAATAATATATATTTTTTATCCGATGACAAAATCACAAACTATTATTCTCCATGGCACTCTAAAGGAGAGAGGAAGCCACCAAAACCACCATTTCTTATGCCCATTAATTCCATGCCTCACACCTAATCCATGCCCATTAATTCCGCATTAATTCGGAAACCATCGATGAAACAATGAGCGGAATCTCTCCATATTAAATGTGAATTAACTCTTGGGACAACAAGAACCGAAGAAATATCAAATTGGAAATCACACAAAAACCCAATGAGCTTGCTTATGGGAAGGTTTCATAATCACGGATTCACCTGTGATGGATGGGCAGATCTTCCCAGGGGCCAGAAGATTTCTTCATGACCTTCACTTTAGCAAGCTGAGCTATGTTCCTGCGAGGAACAAGCATACAAAGATAATAATTAAATTAAAATAAAAAGAAAACCTTTTTCTGTCGATGTCATCTCAAAGGTGACCATGTCAGACCTGGATGAAGGATGCATGAGAGAAGCGCAGAACCATCCTTGTGTACACCCAAGTTTGGCGTACGTGGCCTGTGTGAGAGAATACGCGTATCACCATCATTAGAGCTTCCAGAGAGAGAGGGCGAGAGAGAGTAACGCTGAAGGACCAGCGTGAACTGATTCAAAGCATGAGGAGGAAAGAGATGAGACATGAAGCCTCATAGTCATGTTTATGGAATATTTTCATAAGATTAAAATTTCTGTGAGGACTAGGAGGCCTTACCCTCCAAATCTTAAGAGAATATCATATAAATAGTGGTCAATAAGCAAGGACTAAAAAATTATGTTGGGCTGCTCCAGATCGTAGAAAAATAATAGCCAGAGGAACTTCAAAGGGAGATTAAAGGATGCTTTGGAATTCAGCATTCACATCTCACATTACAAAGAAGCAGTCAGGAAGAAGTACGGCGCCATTCCCCTGACAGAGTATTGACAAGTTTTTTCTTCCCAAAACGATCGGTATCTTCCCACAAACTAGTGTATGATAAGATCTTCGAAAAATAAAATGGCACCCCATTGACAAGATGCTCTTCCCAAACCTTACGGCGCTCAGAGGGGCAGACCCATCTTGATAAGATCTTGCCCACAAGCTAGTGCATTATAAGATTTTGGGACAGAAATGGGTAGCTTATCATCCGGTTGATAACCGGTGTAGAGGAAACTATTGAAATCGATGGGATTGAGCTGTCAAAGTCTTATTATTGTATGTTAACAAGATTGAGGCCTAATGAAGGATGATTATGGTTTACTTGTATTTGCAAGGTAGGGTTTAAGGAGAATCGTCAATACGAAACAAATTCGGTGGTTATTCTGATGGCAGCAATTCTTTTACTGAACGAAATAAATAAAGAAAAAAATCCCCCTTTTTCCAGAGAAAAGGCCTTACCTGATTAACTATCTGGTTCTTGAATTTCTCTGGGTGCAACTTTCTCTCAGAGTGAAATGCATATGACACTTGGGCATCCATTCCTGCCGAGAATAGTCAAATTGGGTCATATTCCAGCATGTGATACAAAAATACTTTCTATCTTGAGCATGAAAGGGTGAAGAAATTATTGATAGATAAATGAGAAACCAGCTTATCTTGTCCTTCGACAAAGCATAATGATTGGCAAAAACTATAGCTAATTGATTTTTTCCTAGTCAACTGAAGTCTGGAAATGATAGTTCCCCTTATCAATGTATGCGGGCACTTTTCAAACAATCAGAAGTTTTCAGATTTTTGAAATCCTGAGCATTCGGAACGTAATACAGATGCTGGATATAGGCTTCGACAAAATCCCATATTTTGGTGTTGACAGATAGACTGGATGCTTTAAGCAACCAACAACAATCTGCTAGGTGTTGACAGATAGGCTAGATTTTGTCAACATCCAACCTATCTGTCAACACCCATATTTTGGTGTCGAAGCCTGCATCCAGCATAGGCTTCTGACACCATAGGCTGCTGATGATAAATAAGCGAGATTCCAAAAACAAAGTGACAGATTATGCACCTCAAACACCCAGAAGACGGTATTAAGGGGGAAAAGGGCCCGCAATAAGCAACCAACAAAGAATAAACCACAGACATGTCAACATAGAGATTTTGGAGATTAGATACTACGGAAACAGAGTAGTCAGAAGTAGAGAAGCGTACCCATGCTAAAGTAATTCCAAAATCCCCCACGATAGGTGTTGCAACCTTCCTGAAAGCAGATAAAAAAGACGTCAAATGGCAGTTATATATGCTACGAGATTAACCAAGTTGTGATAAAAACACCAAATAGCCCATCAACCTATGTTTGTTCTTAAAAATGAAGGAAAAATGAACGATGCACAAATTACAAAGAAGAAAAAGAGAACTAGTTAATAAAAGAAGAATAAAAAAATAGACGACTTGTCATACCATCTGCCCAAACAACAGATAGATATCATCCCATATTTTGTCTCCAAAATTTATTGCAAAAAAATATTGATTCTTCGGTTCAACCAAAATGTCCAGTGCATACTGCGTAAAAAAAATCACGAGTTTTGTACTTTCCCCAGTTCAAAGTCTACGACAGATTGTGGATGAAAGGACAATGCAAAAACGGCCCTCTAATAACTCAAATCTGTGGGGATCATACGTTGTGTGGAACATATATGAACAATTTTGATAGCAATACCTTCAGTGACTAGATGGTGTACACAATTAGTAGATAGAAGTACCAATATAACACAGAAAAAAAAAAAAACCTGACCCCGTCCATGTTCAAATTTTGGTCTTCCTTAACATTTGACCAAATTACAAAAAAATCAAAAGTGAGATCAAGAAATGCAGATCTTTATAATGGAGAACTCGAGACTTCACAAATCATGGTTAAAGGCAATGGGTTCGAGACAGAAAAAGAAATTAAACTTGAAAGGCAAATAATGTAACAAGAAAATGCCATGAACACTAGTACAAGCAATACCCAAGCTCAATTTGGCATCTACTTCTAAAATCCTGAGAGAATAGTGTCTCCTGCTACTAAGTCATCGCCAAATGTATTTATCTCTTCCATCCTCAAGTTCAATTCCATTAATGTTCCTAATAACTAACATCTGGCTAAGATGTCCGACAGTAAGTATTCAAGAGAATAACCAATGCAAAAAATATACATGCATCCTAAACAAGGGTAACTACTCATGATACTGCATTAGATGTGCCAACAAGGACATCTAGAAATTTTAAGACACCCTGAGCACAAACAACAAGCAGAAGGTCATTGTTCCTTCATAATTCCTGGTTTTCTAAAAGACCAAAAATAATACCATCAGAGGTATCTAAAAACTTACGTGTTCAAATCAGATCAGAGCTGAACAGGTAATGAGTAGAACAGAGGTACATTAACGCCCCCACTCTGCAACCGACCCCCCCCCCTCCCCCCCCCGCCTTAAACCCATAATGATTTATACAGTAAGAAATTAGCATTTACATCCACAACAGTACTTGGTCTTCAAAACGTAGACATCAATGATCCAGTGCATTTATTATCATTACTTTGTATATATTCTTGCACGCACATTGCCTATGAATTGTATATCCTAAAGCAGAATACAATATCATTGTTTCGTCAATATTACATGTGAAAAAATTAATTGACTGTGTACTTAAAGAAAACAAAAGCAGGATGGCATAAGCAAAGTTATATTGAGGACAGAAGTTCGTCATACCACATTCAATGAGTCACCACTGCCGACACGATGAAATGCGTGCAAGGAATGGGGTAGTTCTAGAGGAGCGACAGGTTCACAAGAACCTTCTTTAGGAGCTCTCATCCTCATTATGAGATGCCAACTGAAACAAATTTCAAAAAGAGACTAAATCACGTCCTATAGAAAAAAAATGGATAGTTTGTATGCATGTATGTCTATAAGTCAGGCATGATCCTTGGCAACTGACGCACTAAGATTGCCACGCAATCCAAAGCTGGACAAATTGATGTTAATATCTATAATGAGAGACTATATAATTTATCCACGCATCAAAATATATGTACATCTGATAGTTGTATCCAAATTTATACTGAATTTTGGAGTTGCTTGTAGAACCACAACCCTTCTAAGTTGCTTATCAGAAAAACATCAGAACCAAAAGTTGCCCAAGTAATGGCATGCAATTTCACGTTGATGACAAAAAAAATGAGAATTGGGATACAGTTCTTACGGAGGGCTAAAACAATTTCTAAATTACAAAACAGTCAGTACCTGTCAGCTATTTCTTTAGTGTTCATAGGAATTAAATAATAATAATATTTAATATTAAAGACAGAGATAGCAGAAATTAGGTGGATCTAAATTCGACGTCAGGATCAATCATTAGTTTGCCTGGTAGATAGACAGCAAAGTCAAGTACTTTATCAAGTAATTTATCTTTCACAAGGAACTGGTAAAAAATGTTATCTTTCAGCGAATTTTTTTGTTATTTATGTCCTGTAAACGAAGGGAATTCTTTGATGAAACTGCCCATGGAATATCCCCACTGAAAAGATCCAAAGATCCACCATAAGTCATAAAAAAAAAACATGACGAGAACGGCTCTGACAATTCTTTCTTTACTTGTTCTCAGGTGAGGTATAGCTCAAATGTAAACATAGCTTTATAGAAGAAGAGATAAAATAGCAACAAAACCATAATTTATGAACTTGAAATATATGGATAGCAAAGGAATGAAATAGGAAGCCCACCTATCTATTTTCATTTCCCTAGCCTCCTTGACTTGCATCAGGAAGCTTTTCACAGATTGACGATCAGTGCCTGGATTATGCTTCCCCTGAAATCACATATGATGCCATCTCAGGAAACATCAACTGGTTTTCAAAATAGAAAAAGTAAAGGAGACACTTTGGAGCTAAATATTATCTCTTTCTCGAAGGACAACCACTAAAGCCTAATCACCATAAAGATGCATGTGAATATGACGCAAAGAATGGAAATGGGCGTCCGTTGTTTGACAAGGTATTTAAGATTTATAGAGATGAAATGTACCACTGAAATGAGAAAATCCAAATAACATAATTGAGATGGAAAATTTCCTAAAATACTTTTAAAAATTGCACCCTGAATACAATTACTAACCAATCTATTAATGATAATCAAGATTATGGGGAAATCAACCAAAACTCAGCGTACTAAAATTATAGGTCTTACATAATGCTAATCTCGAGACATAAAGACGATCCTCATAACTTATGAATGGAGCAATCACCCCAGCATCTATCAAGCTGAGAAACATATACATGCGTGCGTACAAGACTAACAATATACATGTTTAAAGCCACTATACCTACCCAACCAAATGAAAATGGAAGATTGTTCCCCGTCCCTAAAGGTACTGTTGCAATAGGAGGCGGGTGAGGTAGCTTGAGATCACAGACTACTCCAAGCAGCCAGCCAGCTGTGCCATCTCCACCACCCACCTGAAAGTAGAGGAATCAATTAAGGACAGTAGAATACCTTGCACCCAAGATGACAGATTTCAGTGAATCAGGGGAAAATAGATTGGTGCACATAAAATAGGCACAGAACAGACAGGTTTCTCATTAAAATTATAAATCATTTGAACTCACAATTAGTCTTAGTCTCCTCTCAATTTCAGCAGCCAGACTATCCCCACTGTGCTTCAGTTTTTCCAAATTGCCATAAACCTTGTGCAGTACCTTGTCTGGAGCCTCCTGGCACACATCAAAAACCTAGGAAGAAAAGAGACCTTAGTTAAGTCGCATGTTGTGTCTGTAAGAGCATATTCCAAGGATAATATAGCTGAACCGTTCACGTCCAGGGCAACTTAGACAAGGGAATAGCCACCTGATTCCCATTAAGAAGTTGACGGTACGTCGTCAATAAGTCGCCACCATGCTGCCCACCACTTTTAGAGTTGATGAATACAAGAACAGGACATTCTGGGGGGATGGAACAGGTCTCAGTTTCAGCTTTTGCATCTAATATGTAATTAGGGATATAAAATTCCCTCAACAAGCGTTCAGTCTCAGAAGAGCTATCTCCCATCCTCACTCCACGCCTGCAACATCTCAAATAAACAGTATGTCGTAGTTATTATACTACCCACGCACAAGAAAGCTCAATTGCCCGCCAGCCAGAACATTACGTCACAAATATCCGGCTTCATACTAGCGAAAACGGGCAAGAAGAAAAGAGTGCGCCAAAAGAAGAAACATAATCGTCAGGGCGGCAGAGAATCCAGGAAATTTAAGATGAGCCGAGGAAGACGATGGATAATTATCGGCTTCTCAGAAGAAAGCAACGCTCAACCGGCAGCGAAAATCAAAACAGAGATCCTTCTATTAAAAGCGGTAAACGAAAGAGGGAGAAGATTCAAAAAATGGGAGAAAGTATCGGACGAATGCTGGATTCCCCTCGACAATTTAATCGAGAAAATATCGACAAGGTCTCCAAATGCATGGCTTGCCGAACTATCCGGCCACGCGAGTCGCTATCAGCAAATTCGCGCGGCATGGAAGTCTACCGACCTCACGGATCCGGAGCGCCCTCCACTCGACTTCCATCCATGGACGACCAAAGACTCCTTGACCGAGCGCAGAAATCCGGATCCTCCACCCCGCATACTCTCCGGCCCGTCACGAATCAACGCGGGCGCCAAACAGGAAACGCGACAATGTTACAAACCCAGGTCACACGGAGCTACAATCACCGCTCTAGAAATGCCTCGGCCAGATTATCACTGCGTCACGCCGGAAATCGGGCGATGCCGCGATGGAGGATAGAAGAAGCGATGAGATTGATAAACACCAATTCTCCTTCCGCGAGACCGTCGTCGTCAAACACCACCAGGGAGCTCACCTTGGCGGAGGCCTTCCGATTTAAGGCTGGAGAAGAAGGTTGGAAAGATGGCGGGCCCTCTGCTCGAAGATTTGTTCGACACGCACCGACCGCACGCGATCCCTTTCCCTCCACCGGCTGTACAGCTCTGACCTGCGACGCGTGCAGACTCCGACGTCCTCTTCCCAATCCACGGCGGAAGCGGCCTCCACCCGAAGGTATGAGAAATCTTCCCCCTCCTCTCCGCTAGCGAGAGAGAGAGAGAGAGAGAGAGAGAGAGAGAGAGAGGAATTGAATCAGAACGTCTGATTTGACCCTTTCCCTGTCAAAGGAAACGAAGATGGAGGAGCTGGCGGGAGAGTGGATTTCAACGTCCGAAGAGATTACCACCAGTCCTTCGTGCAAGACCAGATCCAGTCGCGTCCATCTTCCCACGTTTGCACGGAACAGCGGGCGTTGACTGATGACAAAATCTAGAGAGAGAGAGAGAGAGAGGGGCGTGATCGTTTAGGAGAGAGAAGGACGACGTCAATCTGAAGGGTGACGGAATCCGGAGAGCACGATATTTCTGTACACTCCCCAACAATCGACAAATTATGATTATATCGTCCGGTCTTTCCTAGATTGTAATTAATTGAGCGTCTTTTCGGAAAACCCCAACGACAATGACGGTTTCAAAACTGGATGGGCCGGGCCTGGCGGGCCCATGAAACTCAGGCCCAGCCCGGAGAGCGACAGGACAGGGGCCGTTTAGAGAACCGAATCGACGGAAAAGTCAGGCCGATGTCTTAATTTTTCGGGTCCACTGGCATCCCTGTGGGTCGCATTTATTCCGTCGTTTTTCCACTAGAAATGACGTTACTTGATTCTCCGCATTTTTTTATTCAAATTAGAAACATACCCTTCCAGGGTCCGTGACTTGCGCTAGTAATTTTACTGATAAATCCTCCCCAAGGCTGACAAGGAACAGAATAAACTACCTTTTCACGAAAAAAGAAACATCCAGTGGACATACTATTCAAATGTTACTTGATAAATAAATAAGTTTTTAGTTCTAACCCACCAAAAGCAATCATTTTTTCCGGAATCCCCATTTCTTACACCCACTCCCTAACGATTATCTTATCCTTACTCTTTTGTCCTCTTTCGGCCGTCATTTTTACGTGACGAAGATGCTTGACATATCTTTTAAATATCTATTATTACTTTGTGCAAGGACCCAAACCTAAGAAGAATAATCATTTCGGGACATTTTTTATAATATCAAAAACTACAGCTTTTTTTTGCAATTAAAAATTAAATTGATGATAAGTCGGGCATGACCATTTATGTACCGGTCAGTTGTGGGACCGTCCGAATAGAAAAGAGCACATGGGCCCCACATATGCTGCCACGTCGACGAGACGACCCGAACCAGGAAGCTTCGATGGGGATCAAAACCTCGCCGCCTCGTGTTCTGACTCCGTACGTTTTTCTCACTCGACGACGGGTCCGAATTGACTCGTCGACCAGTCAGATGGCGGCGGAGAATACCTGTATCCGTGGACCTTGTAGGGAGGAAACTGCCGGACGTGGGCCCACGTACTTACCAACGGCCACTGTCAATCAACAATTACGAAAAATAAATTTGGCGTGAAATCCTCATCAACTGGGGCGACCTTTTTCCGACCATAAGACATCACTGTGGAATAATATCTATATAATTACGATATACATGTGAATTAATATTTATATAGCCCTCAAAAAGATCATTTTACCCATGAGTTTTTCTATTTTAAAACGTGTTACATTTGTAATATTAATGGTTTTATGATGAACATATTATTCTTTTAAAATGAAAAATCAATAACTATTTAATGCAAAACCCTTAATGCATAAGGTCAAACGGTAAGAAAACATCAACATTGTACAAAATGAGTTGTTGAGAAAATAGCAAGGTATGATGTGGTGAAGATAACCCATGTACATTCAACTATCTTAAGCATTAGGTTTTATTTGAATAAATCAATAAAAATTATTAATGGTTTTGTGACAAACATATCATTCTTTTAAAATTATAAATTAATAATTATTTAATAATTTAGAAAACTACAAAACCCTAATGCACAAGGTCAAACAATAAGAAAACATCAACATTGTACAAAATGAGTTGTTGAGAAAATAGCGGGGTATGACGTGGTGAAGATAACCCATGTACATTAAACTATCTTAAGCATTAGGTTTTATTTGAATAAATCAATAAAAATTATTAATGGTTTTGTGGCAAACATATCATTCTTTTAAAATTATAAATTAATAATTATTTAATAATTTAGAAAACTACAAAACCCTAATGCACAAGGTCAAACGGTAAGAAAACATCAAAATTGTACAAAATGAGTTGTTGAGAAAATAGGGGGGTATGACGTGGTGAAGATAACCCATGTGCAAGGTTTAAGTTGGATATTAAACTATCTTGAACAATAGTTTTTATTTCAACAAATCAATAGAAAGTATTAATGATTTTTTTATGAACATATCATTCTTTTAAAATTATAAATTAATAACTATTTACTGATTTAAAAAACAGGAAAATTCCTAATGCACAAGATCAAATGATAAGAAAACATCAATATGGTACACAATAGTTATGAAAATAGTGAGGTATTACATGGTTAAGAGAACCAATGTGCAAGATTTAAAATTAGACATTAAACTATCTTCAATAATAGTTTTTATTTCAACAAATCAATATAAAATATTAATAACTTCTTGATGAACATATCATTCTTTTAAAATTATAAATAATAACTATTTAATGATTTAGAAAACTACAAAACCCCTAATGCACAAGGTCAAATGGTAAGAAAATATCAACATTGTACACAATTAGTTGTTGAGAAAATGGTGAGGTATGACATGGTCAAAATAACTCATGTGCAAAGTTAAAGATGAACATTAAACTATCTTGAGCAAAAAAAAAAAAATCAAAAAATTAATTGAAAATATTAATAGTTTTCAGATGAATATATCATTATTTTAAAATTATAAATTAATAACTATTTAATGATTTAAAAAACTAAAAAACCCCTAATGCACAATGTCAAATGGTAAGAAAACATCAACATTATACACAATGAGTTGTTGAGAAAATAATGAGGTATTAATGGTTAAGAGAACCTATGTGTAAGGTTTAAAATTGGACATTAAACTCTCTTGAGGAATAGATTTTATTTCAACAAATCAATAGAAAATATTATTAGTTTTCTGATGAACATATCATTCTTTTAAAATTATAAGTTAATAACTAGTTAATGATTTAGAAAAGTACAAAACCCCTAATGCACAAGATCAAATGGTAAGAAAACATTAACAAAGTACAAATTGAGTAATGGAGAAAATAGTGGGATATGACATGGTGAAGAGAACCCATCTACAATATTTAAGATTGACATTAAACTATCTTGAGCAATAGTTTTTATTTCAAAGAATCAATAGGAAATATTAATGATTTTTTTATGAACATATCATTCTTTTAAAAATATAAATTAATAACTATTTAATGACTTACAAAAGCACAAAATCCCTAATGGACAAGGCCAAATGGTAAGAAAACATCAACATTATACAAAATGAGTTGTTGAGAAAATACCTTGTATAAGTTTTCTTATGAATGCATAAAAAGTCAAAAGTTTTTAAAACTATAAACTAATAGCTATTTGATGATTTACAAATGTAGAAAAACCCCAATGCATAAAGTCAAATGGTAAGAAGACATCAAGATATGACAAAATGTGCTAGTTGTGAAAATAGTGGGGGTATGACGTTATGAGCCATCTACAAGGTTTGAGATGGACATAACATTATCATGAACAATAGTTTTTATTTTAACAAATCAGCTATAGTTCAACATGGGTTAAGTTGACCCTTACTAATAAATGTGTTTTAAAACTTGGTCTAGAGGGGCTTACTAATAAATTTGAGGAAGACATGTATTTATTCATATTTATATTATTTTAATGAGGACTATTAGAAAAAAACTTGATGTTTAGATGGCAAATTTCTTTTGCCTAGCTCCTTTTCATGCTTAATCAACACAAAGCTCAAGGTCTAACTAAAAAAGATTTCAATGTACCACATGACAACCCATACCTTATTCATACAAATCATTCAATGGTCTCCACCATGTGTTAGAGTGTTGACTTTGGATCATCTATCATCTCACCATA